AAACTATGCTTAGGCTTCGTCGCAGACCAACACCTTAACCCCTAAACCTCACCTTAAGGGTCCCTCCTTCTCCCCTAAACCCTTTTTATATAGATCCCTTTAAAGGAACCCTAAGAGCCCTAAACTAAGGGTCCCTCCTTTTCCCCTTTGATACCTTTTTAGGGACTTTTATAAAGAAATCATGTTATGGAGCCCTAAAAAGGTAGGTTCCTTACAGTCCAGGCAGGCCCTAAACGGGAAAAAGCTGCAGCTGTCTCCGGTGCTTTATGAAACTCTTCTGTAAGCGCTAGTGGCGGAGTTCGGGCGCACAAACCCAACAGTCCCGGTTCATACCACAGCACTGCAACGATAACTATAGGACAAAATCAAGCGGAATGGATTGCTCAATTCTAGCTAAGCACATACTAATGTAAACCAGTTGAAAAATCATTTAGGAACCCTGGATCCTTAGCGAAATGCTTTGCTCCTGGGTTAAAGGGGCTTATAAGGGAACCGGAACCCCCCAAAAAAGGGAATAAGGGCCTACTCTAGGTCCTAGAAGAACATTTAGAAGGAGCTCCTGGGTTCGAGCATTAGCATGGCGTTGACCAGGCTCACCGACGAAGGGCTCAAATGGTCGGGAAGGTGGTACCTGTCACTGGGCGCTCTGAACAACCAGTGGATCCGGAAACCTACCGTTTTTAGGGCTCTATACCCCTAAGTTATGGGGCCATAACCTACTATTTTGGATTTGGGTCACAGGAAGAACCGCTCACTTCCGAAACGAGCGGCACCGGTGGGAGACTGCTTTTACAGGGCCTGGGTTAGGGTTTCTTTGGCGTAATGCCAAGTATGGCCGCAAGCTAAGTTAGCATCTCAAGCCGACCAGTCCATAAGTTATCTTTAGGCTCTGCTGCGGCTCATGTTCAAGCCACCCGCTTAAGTACCCGAGGTCCGAAGTGGCTAAAACTTTAGGCTCCAAGTCTCAGTTCTTAGCGTTTAGGTGATTCCTGACCCTTCGCCGAAAAAGCGATGACCGCAGAACTTCTTACCATCAAACGCGCATAGACTCCAACATCCCTCAATCAGGAATATTCCGTAAACTGTAATAGGGTCCCTGTTATGATTCGAAGAATATTCCGTAAATCAGTGATCTTCGAGTCTCTGGGTGTATGTCCGGCGACAGATTCGCACCACCCTCCGCTCAACAAAAGAAAGGGTCGAAACCCACCAAAAAAAACCCAAAACTGGCCCTGAACTTTCGACACTACAGGCTGAAAAGCCTGAAACCCAAACCTGAAACCGTAATCCTGAAACACAAACCCTCCTAAAACATCTACCATGCCAGCTCGCCCTTAAAACTTAACCAGGGGCTAAGTAACCAAGAGCTGTGATACACCAAGACACTCACCCTCAACCCTCCATAACCAAGGTGGGCTTACTGTCTGAAGATTAGGTGCTTTCTGGTGGTAATTAATATGGGATGATTGTCTCTAGTTCAGGTGCTTCTTAGGGAGCGGTGTAGAACCCTCATAGTATGCTTGGAGGACCCGCTGCAGGACCCTGAAAGAACCCACAATTACGAGACGCCTATTGTAGTTCAGGTGCATTGTGGGGGCCCAAAGATCCGATGCTCCAAACCCCGACCATAGCCTCAAAGAACTCCTAAAGGGCCCCTTGGAGGATCCCTGATAGATCCCTTAAAGGAGCCCCTAGAGGACCCCATACAGGAACCCTTGACAAGGACCCCTTAGAGGAAGCCCGGCTCGTTCATTCTTTATCGTAAAACGAAGGATTCCCAAAGCGCACTGGCCCCTGAGGATGCTCCGCTTGAGATCAGGCATGCTCTTCCCCTGGGGGCTCCAATATTTAGGAATATACCCTGAATTATAGCAAGCTCCCACATATGATTTAAGGAATATTCTTAATATTGGAGTCACTGGATTCTTCGAGGGCTTTCGGGCTATTAGGGTTTAGGGCTTTGAGGCATGTGCTGCGTTGCTGCTGATGCTGGTCTGCTGATGCTCACGGTGCTGTTCATGCTCGGTGCTCATGGCGGCATCAATGGCCAGTATGCACCGTACATGGTGTGGTCCTTCATGCCGACTTCCTGGAGCGTAATGGCCCAGGGTTGGCCGCATACCATGCCAGGCCACAAGTGCCAGGTGAAGGCCTCTGCCGCTGCCACCAAACGACGGGTCCGGTCGCTGTCGCGCTTCCGCATGGCGGCTATAAAGCCCTCGAGCCAGCCACCTTGAGCGTAGTACTTGACGACCCGGTCCCACTCCGTCACACTTCTAGGAGACAAGACCGAGACCACAACGGCCATCATGGTCCCCGACAATGTCACTGAGCGTCACGTACTCGAGGATGGCATCGTCGGCCCCATGACCCGCCACTTCTTGTCGATAGGGTTTAGGGTTTAGGGTTTAGGGTCCTTCTTCCAATCGTGACCAACGGTTCGCATGTTCTGCAACATTTTGGATTCTCTGCGCCGCAAATAAAGCCACGACTTGCCCCCCTTCGTGCATGGGGTCGAGTGGCTCCACAGTGGGTTCCCCACAAAATATCGAAGGTCTCGACCCTCCTGGCTAGGGGTTCCTCCCGTAAAAGGTAACCCATGTTCTGCCACCCTGAACCCTAAACCCTACACCCTAAACCCTAAAAACCAAATGCGCGTGCTGGGCCGATGCGAGTGAGGCATGTTCGGCGCTTCAAGACCCTAAACCTTAAAAGCACCCCATTTTTCGCGCGAGTTAAACCTAAAACCCCTTGAAAATCCTGACGGGAAGCTTCAGGATTAAGGACTACGGGTGTAGTTGTGGTTCCGGTCCAAGTCCTTGAAATCGAGGTTCCAGGATTTCATGGGATCTGGATGATCAAGGCCACTATTCTGAAGCTGTCGGGTATGAACGCGAGGGTGCTTTCTGAGCTTTTTGGGTTTAGGGTTTCAGGGTTTAGGGTTTTGTGAGCTTCTGGGGTTCAGTTTTTTTTTTTTTTTTTTTTTTTGGGGGGGGTTAGGGTTTTTTGAGCTTTTGGGGTTTAGGGGTTTAGGGTTCGGGGCAGTGGGGCTTCAGGGCATCCGGTTTGGGGCGCCACGGTTCAGGGGCCTGGACCTTCAACCGGGACATCCTCGGATTGCCGCTGCTCTCAACTAAACCGCAGCATGCACCCCTGCAAAGCCCCTCAACCCTGGTTTATGTAGGGTTTAGGGGGTTTAGGGTTTAAACCCTAACCCTAAACCAAGCCATTCAAGCAACATTGACACTTTTTGTTTGTACGGGCCAGCCTGCTTGAATTGCTTGAAACCAGCATGAAACCGCATGAACCAGGCAGATGGAGCCCACCCTTATCCTGGAAAAAAAACTGTGCCTAAATCCTTCTAGCAACGGGGCCTTAACAATGAGAGCGGGGGTTTGGGGAATTATGATGAGAGTATGATAAGGAACCTTATTATGGAATAGTATTCGTGTATTTCGGACACCTCGAATGCTCAGCCTTCAACCTGCAAAGCCCGTGCACCGGTTTAAACGCCCGAAGTCTCTCAAAGCTTACCTCAGTACTTGGAGGGTCGGGGGACTTAGTAACTGGGTAGTAAGTAGACTTATAAGTACCCTAAAAGGGATCCTAATTGGGGTTATGGTACTTATAACTCTACAAAAAAACTACTTAGTAAGTCCCCCGACCCTCCAAGTATGGACCTACAGCACGAAATCACAGTACAGGTTTTCAGGCTTTACGTAGGTAACCCCCGAAAACCCTAATCCCCGGAACCTGGAAAGCACCCTAAACCCTAAACTATAATCCGCAAACCCTAAACCCAAACCCCAAAACCCAAGACTCTAAACCCTAAATCCCTAAAGCCTATATCCCTTAACCCTGTATCCCTAAACCCTAAATCTCTAAACCCTACATCCCTAAACCCCAAATCCCTAAACCCTATCCCTAAAGCCTGAACCCTGAAACCCCAATCCCCCAGCCTTGAAGGGAAGACGGCCACAAAGCATCGCATACAGGGAAACACCAGAGCTCCATACCTGGATAGAACCCAAACCTGTGGATCCAAAAGCCTACCGTTTGAAGGGTTAGACCCTCTAATTAAGGGGTCATAACATTCTATTTTGTAGGGTTTGGGGATACAGGCAAAGGCTCCATGTACATATACAGTAGATACTTAGGCTTCAAAGTACCTCTATAGGGACCTCTTTAAAGCCAAACTGGGGAACATGGAGGTTTGGGGTTTAGGGCTTAGGGCGTCAAGGGACTTAGCATTTTGGGCTTCAGGGATTAAGGGTTTCAAGTGCCGTTTGCTTGCGCCCCCATTTCCCTCTGCTCCGGAGTGAAGGGTTAGGGTTTCTCAAAAGCTTAACCTAGATCTGCAATACCCTAAGGGTCCATGTACCCACAAGGCATATACTTTGACCCCAAAAAGTACCTATCTTAGCCCCTTAGGGATACCTCAGGCAGATGTATGCTGGGTTAGATGCGGAGAGTTTGCATGAAAGGACCAGCCAAGATGACCAGATGACCTTCACCTAGACTCAGACTCTAAACCCTGAGCCCGAAACTTCTCCCAAAGGGTCCTAGGTACTGTTATGGTGGATACTTCCCAAAATCATAGTAATAATTCCTAATATAGAAACCCTACATTCTACTATAAAGGTACTTTGGCCCCTTTGGGTCTGAACTCCTAAACCCTATAAACTCCAAACCCTTCTAAGCGCGAACACAAGATCTGGCTTTGAGCCGGCTAGACCTGTGTCATGGTCCGTGGCAGCAGAAGCTTCTGCAACGACGTTGCAGGCTTTAGGGTTGTTGGATTGGGTTGTTGGATTGTTAAGTTTTTAGTGCTTTATATAGTGTTTAAGGGTTAGAGTTTACAGAGTGCAGGAGATGTTTCGGGTTGTTGGGTTGTTGGGGTTAGTGTGTTTCAGTGTCTACGGTTTATAGAACTCAAGGAACCTATGAGCTTCCACAGCTCAGCAATGCACCAACTCAGCTTCACAAGCATGTCTTCGCAGTCACATCCGGTGGCGCACGTCCGCCGGGAAACCCTCGTAGCCAGCTTCCAGCAAAATCTCCGGTGCAATGTACCTCGGAGGTCTATGGCGTTTTCATCTTGAGCCCACCCTTACACCCCACAGTCCTGGACCCTTATAAACCCTAACCTTAAATCTTACTTTCAACTACCACGACTTAATATGGAATTGATAGGGACCCTACAGAAGGGTAGGTTGTCATAGGTTAAGGTATAGCCCTAGACTTTCAAACCGACGCCCAGCAGAAGCCAAGAATCGAAGGTGTGCCGCAGTGCTCATGGAGCTGCTTTCCAGGCTGTGCGACCTACAGCAAAAATTGTCTGGAGTTGACCGGTTCAAGGTTGAAGGGTATAGCGTTTCGAGTTTAGGGGTTTAGCTTTAAGGCTCCATGTACCTATATCATGCATAGTTTTTGATTTATAGGGTGTTGGCATTGGTCGCATCTTCCTGTGAGGGACGAACGATGAAGGTTCTATAACGGTACCACGAGTGCTTGGAGGTGTTTTATGCTTCAGGATAAAAAAATGTCTAGGACCCAAGGTTTACAGCGGTGTTCAGGGCTAATGGGGTTTAGGTTTGCGTTTCCGCAAGGGGACGCCTTTTCCTGCTGGCACGGATATTGATGAGCTCGGCTGCGGTACTTCAATGCGGCTCGAATCACGGATTTCGCGGTGGGGTTAGGGTCTGGATTGTTTGGTTTCCTCACTTTATGAACGGCAAAAGGTCAAACCCCGAAGCCCGGAAGCGGATTGTGGGAAGCTCTATGCTGTTTCTCCGTAAATGCCCCTGCCCAGCGAACCAGTCTCAAACAACACTGCAGTCTCGAATCGCCAATCGACCCTATCATCTGCGGCCCTTCCAAATAAACCTTCTAAAAACCTGACCCCCGAACAACAAAAAAAAACACCTAAATCCTAAATCCTCGCAACCTAACCGCCTCTCCATCCCCTGACAAACATCAGAATCCGAAGAAGCCACAACTCCCCTGACCACGAAATCACTTGAATCAGAAGAAGTTCATGAAGCCCCAGACTAACCTCTAAATCTAAAAAACCCACACACTAGGTAATCTGAAACAGGCAAGTCCCACGCGTGAGCCAAGTCCGCAAGCCCTACCTTGAAACACCAAACGCCCCAACCTCTTCAGAATCCGTAAGCCAAAAGAGGCCTTTAAAGGGTGTTATAAGGGAGCCCGACCCCTAAAAATGGCCCACCCTGGGTCCTAGCCCTTAGTTCCGTTGCAAATCGAAAAAAAACAGAAAGCTCCGGTCGCCGAATGGTTACTGGTGACATACTTCACGACTGATAACCTACTATTCAGGTCCAGGTAGCTGCAGCCCTCATAGCCCTCACAAACCATAAACCCTAACACCCGAAACTCCTAAACCCTAAACCACCCTAAACCCGAAACCAAACATGGACGCAGATGCAGCAGTCCTAAACAAATCACTAAGCCCGAAACCCTAAACCCAAACCCCGAACCCTCAAGGCCCAAAGCCCCAAAAACCCCAAAGCCCCCCAAAACCCTAAAGACCCAAAAACCTAAACCCTAAAGCCCTAAACCTAAAGGCCCTCTAAACCCTAAACCCTAACGTCCTAAAACCCTAAACCCCAAAACCCCAAAGCCCCCCAAAACCTAAAGCCCGTGACCCCAGAGCTCCCGGCAACAGCAACCCCGAAGTCGGCGATCTTCACACAGCCGTAAGGATCCAGGAGTAAATTCTCCAACTTGATATCCTGGGGTTTAGAGTTTAGGGTTTAGGGTTTATAGGGGTTTAGGGTTTAGGGCTCATAGGGTTTAGGGTTTAGGGTTCAGGGGGATCCAGGAGTAAATTCTCCAACTTGATATCCTGATCTGCGGGCGTTGTAGGATAGAAACTTAAAAAAGCACATATTTGCTATGTTGCCTGTTTTGTGAGTTTTGGCCTGAAAACGTGTGACTTGACGTTTTGCTTGTGCTTTAGGGTTAAAGCTTCCGAAGGCATATACTTGATACCCTGCCTTCCTGTTTAAGGTTTCAGGGCTTATAGGGTATAGCTTGAATCCCTGATTTGCTCGCGGATTTTGGGGCATGATTTCAGGGCATGACTTGATTCCCTGCCATTTTCGGGTTTCGGGGACAAGAGTCTAGGGTATAGATATCTTGATATCCTACATGGCTGAGCTTTGTTCTGCTTCGAAGGCTTTACGTGCATAGGGGTGTGGCTCAAGCTTAAGGTTTAGGGCCTGGGAAGGCCGTGAGACTTGGGGCGTTGGTTTAGGTTTCAAGGTTTAGGGTTGAGGGTATATTTAGGGTGTAGGCTTTAAGGTTTAGGTTTTAAGGTCTTTGGGATTGTGTGATTTAGGGCCATATGGTCCAGGCTACTATCTTGTTGGTTCAGGTCTCTTCACAGAGCTCTCGGCGCTCGCAGGGGGGCGCGATTCAAGCTTGCTATGGGGGCCTCAATGATTACAGTAGTTCTTTTGAGTATACTGTATCACAACAATATGTATACTGAGGAATCCTACGGAATAATGTTGGGCGATCTCCCGATCCCTATCTGAAGCCGTTGTGCAAGAGTGGTTGTGCGGTTTGCTACGTCTTCTTCATTTTAGTGCTGAGGATTACTTCTTTTCCTTCTTGTCCGGAATCATAAGGGAATTTCCGAAAATGAGGGACTCTAACCCTAAATAGTAGGATCCTTATTGTAAGGACCCCAATATAGGGTACCCCTAATTTTCGGAAACTCCCATAAGATGCAATCATCCCAAAGACAGAAGTCCCGTCTGTTCCCGAATGCTCAGAAAACTAAGTGTGGGTGCATTGAAGGTTTAGGGTTTTAAGGTTTTAGGGTATATATAGGGTTTTAGGGTTTAGGGGTTTGGTCAACAAGCAGCAGTACCAAGGATCATTGTATGATTCACCCACTATCTGAAAGGATTGTCATATGATCTAAATCGAAGTATCCGGCAACATATCGAACTTAATCGTCGACAAGGGCTTCAGCGTTTCAGCGGTCCGGCACTACGCAGCCCAAGCTCCCGGCTCCCCTTCCCCTCAACCCTGAGCGCCCTAAAGAGACCCGAACCCGAAGACAAAGTCGCCAAGACTGAATCAGCTCAGACAAAGACATTAGGTTTAACAGGCATGTCAGCACTTCCCGCAAGCTTAATTATGCCTGCGCCCAACACTCAGCTTCTATGGTCTACCTTATACCGATCGAGAACTTACCGTCAATCAAGTCCCCTTCCCTCTCCAGTCCCTGTGAACGACACGCATGTCGTGCACGTGCGCCAGGCCGTCCATGAGCTGCTTGAAGAGGTCCTTACCCCGCTTAAGCTTAATTACCCAGAGGAGGGTCCAAGTACCCAAATAGTAGGGTTTTAGGTCCCAAAATCCATACTCTGAATGGTTTTTGGACCTTAAAACCCTACTACTTGGGTACTTGGACCCTTAGGGTTAGGCACAGGATTCAGGGTTAGGGCTTGCTGAGGGTTGGTAGGCCGCTTAGGTTGTGAGACTGACGAAACTCCAAACCCTAATCCCTAATCGGCCCTAATCCCTATAAACCTTAAGCCTAAACCCTAAACCCTGTAAACCTTCCCCACAAAATAATCGGTTATGCCCCCTTTATTAGAAGGTCTAACCCCTAAAACAGTAGGGCTTTGGATCCCCAGGTAAATAACCTACCTTTTTCAGGACTTATATGTCAAAGCTTCTTGTTCATGGCTAGACCATGGATGATTTGGGGGGGGTCCTATCGCTTTACAAGGATTCCGTCACATGCTTCTGTGAGGTATCGCTTTGCTCTTGTGAAAGTAAGAAGACCATCAGACTCACTGATCCTACTCGTAGCTTGCCCTGTGGGGCAGTGGCTCATAAAACGATCTAGTACGTATCGAGTAGGGTATCGATTGGGTATCGATTAGGGTGTCGATTGCGTAGCCATATATCACACGGAAAATCTAGGCACAAATACCGCGGATCCTCGGAAATCGCATCGCTTTTGGGGGGGTCCTATCGCTTTCCAAGGAAATTTGCAAAATCCGACATTCCACGGTCACCCTACTCTTAACTACAAATACGGAAGTTTTGACGGATATAAGGAAAACATATAATAAGGAATCCCTAAAAGGTCGGTTCTTTAGGGTCCAGGTAAGTAAACCCTTCTTGAACCCCCAAAAAGAACCCCTAAAGTTTCCTTATAGGAGCCCATAACCCAAAGAACCCTGAACCCACAGCCCGCCGCTCCTTCACGCAGGGCTCCTGGAGTCGACGTTGCGTTCGCACATAGCGCAGGAGGTCGCCGCCATTCGCAAACTGCGGGGAGCTTAAAAGGGACCATGGGGGTTTGGGGTTTATGTGTTTGTTTTTTTGAGCTCCTTTTCTCCAGCGCCCCGAAAGGTCTGAGAGGCCAGGACGGGTTTATATGGTTTAGGGTTTAGGTTGATAGGGTTTAGGGTTTAAAAGGTTTATAGGGTTTAGGGCTATAGAGTTTAAGGTTCAAGCTTCTTTAGGGCTGAGTTAGGGTTTAGGCTTCTTGGCGTAGAAATCCAGGGGCTTGTGAGGGCTCCTGTGTTGGTACTTTGAGGTGTCTCTCCAGCATAGGAAGCCTTGCTTTCCCGAAACCCTAAACCTTACAAACCCTAAACCCCTAAACCGCTAACCCCTAAACCCCTAAACCTTAAACCCCTACAACTTTAACTAGGATACCCAGTAACCTAAGAATAAAAAGGCCTCTCTTTTTGGTATTGGGTAACTTTATAAGGAACCTAGGACTACAAAAAGGGAATAAGGGTACTACTGGGCATCCTAGCTTTAAACCCCTAAACCCTATACACCCTGAGCCAAACCGAGGCTTTGGGCTGGCGCCTCCATAACGAGCACTATCTGCGAGGGCGTTTCCACCACCTCGCAGCCAGTGGGTGGTCTATAGGGGGGTTTGGGTTTAGGGTTTAGGGCTTGACTTCGGAGAATTTCGGGTATTCCGCTCATTCCCTGTGTCAGCAGGAAGAGGTTGATAACGTTTTTTTTGCAATTCTCAGAAAGGCGTGCTGTGCAGACTGATGCATGGCTGTGCCGCTCCAAGCAAGCTTCAAACTCCCAGAGGGTCCATGTACACTGCCATTATGGAATTAGGTACCGAAAGACCATCCCTATTATGGTTTTGGGGACCTGATTCCATGATGGTAGTGTGTATGGACCCTCTGGGACTGCTCTGATTTGCTTGAAGCTCAGACACGTTCTCGCTGGGTTTGGGTGTGCTCGGAAGTACCGGGGAGGGGGGCGGGATTTTTTCCCTGGGATGCGGGGCAGAGATCTCGGGCTTCGTGGCTTAGGTCGTTGCATGTCGCGGATGTGTGATGTTTAGGCTCTGGGGTATAGGGTTTATAGGGTTCAGGGTTTCAGGTTTAGGGTTGTGCTAGATACTGCCAGTTAAACAGAGGATCGCGGAAAGTTGGAGCACAGTTAGTCTAATTCGTGGTTACTTTCGGGGGTTAGTGACTACAGGGGTTACTCTCGGTTTGCTATCAGGCTTACTTTATAAGGTTGAACAGCATGGACGAATCTCTCGGCTGAGATTTTGGTTAACTGCCCACCCAGCACAGCTGGAAGGCTTCTTGCGGGATGAGCCCACACCGGTTCAGAGTTCGGAGTTAAGAGTTCAGAGGTTTAGGGTTTAGGATTTGGGGAACCAAGTGATGATTCAGAAGCCTGCCGATAATCCGGACTTTCACGGCTGGAAAGTTGGAAAACTTGGCAACCAACTTTTAACACGTCGAGCCTGGAATCCAAGCAAAAGCTGGCGAGTTCATAAGAATGCTGCTCGGATGCATATATCAGGTCGCTGGTGTCCGAGTTATGAGACTCGGGGCTTGAAGCTTTTCGCCCCTAAGCCCCAAACCCCTAATATAGGTGCCTTAATAATTAGAATAGGGTTTGGGGGTATAGTAGACTATACTTATAATAAGGACCCCCCCTCCTCCAAAACAAAAAGTACATAATTATAGATAATTATTACGGCACCTATATTATATTATAAGCCCAACCTAGACCCCCCAACTACCCTTTATAGTAGCCCCAAATTACCTCTTAATGAGAAATATCAGAGCCCTTTAAAGGGCACTTGGGGGGTCCTGAAAACCCAGTGGGTTTCAGAGTTTGGTCTGAGCTTTGACTAGGATACCCAGTAACCTAAGAATAAAAAGGCCTCTCTTTTTGGTATTGGGTAACTTTATAGGGAACCTAGGACTACAAAAAGGGAATAAGGATACTACTGGGCATCCTAGTTGAGATTAGTTCTCTTGACACATCGCTCCGAGCTCGAAACCAGGGCCGCCGCTCTAAATCCTCAGCTCTAAACCCACAAGAATAAGGACCACAATAAGGGTACTTTCAGGGTTCCTTTAAAGGGTCACTATAAGGGTACCAGAAGGGCTCCTTTATTAAATGTGTCCATAAGGGTTTAGGGTTTCCGAAAGTTGGGGAGTACCTTATTTTGAGGGGTCCTTAACTTATCATAAGGATCCTACTATTTTAAGGTACTATAAAAGGGTCCCCTATTTTCGGAAACTCCCATATCCTAAACTATAACATCTTCAACTTTTTCCGCAGCTTTTCCCCTCCCTAACGGCGCATGCAGCCATATTATAGTAAGTACATGTCTACCTGGACCCAAGTGCCTGAACAGAGGCCCCTCCAAGGCCTCAGCAAAAAACATGAGCGGATGGAGCCTTCTTTGGGATGGAGCCTTCTTAGGGCGCGGGCTCAACATCCCCAAACCACTACACCCCAAACTAACCCTGAAACCCAAAACGACCCCTCCTCAAAGAGCTGGATGATGTTGGCGTGGCCAGTAAGACGCTTCATGATCGTCACCTCGACGGTTTTCTTCATTTGAGGAAAGTTGGGCTTAGAGTTTAATGTTTAGGGCTACGTCGCCCGGCTTAAACGCTCAGAAACCAGGGCTTAGGTTGCTGGCCCACCGCCACTTCTTTCAGCCAGTGATAGGTTTAGGCTTTTAGGGTTTCGACTCGACCGCTTTGGCACTGGGAGTTGGGGCTTACGGGGTTTGAGGCTTTTCGGGTTTCTTCTGGGATCTTAGTCATGGGAACCTACCTCACAGGGATACCGAGCATATTGCTGCAAGTGTAACGGTAGCTACCCAGCATAGCTAATTTTCCTCGCGCAAACAAGGTTATGGCAAAAACTGTGTGTGTGTGTGTGTGTCTCTCTCTCTCTCTCTCTCTCCCTCTCTTCTTCTCTCTCTGAACATGTAAAAGGTATAGACGTATATGGGTGGTTGTCAAAATTAAGGTCTCTTTTTGGGTATCCAAAATAATAGGCGCCGTATTATAATAATGAGCTCAAAAAGAACCCAAATTTTGACAAGGACCCATATAGAAATGACATAAGTTGGTGATTGTAAACAAATAGGGTTTAGGGTTTAAGGTTTAGGGGTTTAGGGTTTAGGTTTAGGGTTTAGGGCATGCTGTTGACATGGCCGAAGCCTCGTGGTTACGGAGTTCGGCGAAGTAACCGATCCAAGCTGATCGACTCATTTAAGCACTGGAACACGAAGTAACGAGGTTTGGGGTTAAGGATTTAGGGGTACGGATCATGGTATCTTCATTTTCACAATACACTATGTATGATGTTTCTGAAAGATTGAGGCGATGGTGTGAGCAGCCTCTTCCAGCAGCTCTGTGGCAGTGATGGCACGAGAAGCCAAAAAGGCGGTTCAGGTAATACAGCGGCCTTAATTGTGAGAGTAGGGTTTTGGTCTGTTGTAGTCTACAACTATAATAAGGAACACCGAATCAGCATTGGTAATAGGGCCCTCCACTATGTGCTTCGAAAAGAGTCTATCTTCTCCCGAAAGCGGCTAATTACCGGGTTGGCTCTCAAACCGCTCGTCTCTTCCTACCTGTCGGGTATCATGTGGAACTAAAGGTTAACCTTCTTGGTTATATAGGACTATATAGGGACTCTACTACCCAAAAAAGGTTAAAGGCTACCTATGTATACTCTACAACTAGGGTCTCGAGTGAGAGTGGTCAAAGGACGTGTTGGCCTTTCATGACCAGGCTGTCTCACCATACTTGAAGGATCATGGGACTTAGTAACTGGGGTTATAAATCAGGTAACCATACTTACAATGACTTATAACCCCAATTAAGGTACATATAACCTTACTTACTAAGTCCCATGATCCTCCAAGTATGCGATGGGTTATAAGGTTTAGGGTTTAGGGAAGGAGGCCCATGATCGTTTGGGAACAGCTCGAAGCTTCCAACTGCTTGCTTCAGTCGCCACGATGCGGTTCCTCGCGCCCTGTGGGTGCTTTGGGGTATCCAGGGGATGTATATATTGGATACTGCCCCCATACAGCAACAGTCTATAATAGGGCTTCAATTAAGGGCCTAATATATCTGTATTATGAGTATTATCCAACTGTTATTGAGTGGGGGCAGTATCCAATGCATATAGGGTTTGATCTTAGAATACCCTAAAACCCTATAAGCCCGTGGGACTTCTAGTAGACATTGACTCGAAGGCCTGAAATCGATCAGATGTGCTTTGTGGTGGCTTATGGTTTAGGGTTTGGGCTTACATGGTTTAGGGCTTAGGGTTAAGGGTTTGGGACCTGGCCCTCGCTGAAAACTAAACCATGAACATCCCCTGAGGGGAGGGTTTCGACTTTAAGTTTGGGTTTATAACACACAAATCCCAAAGCTACTGAGCTACTGTTGATGATACAAATCCTGCATTACCTTAAGAAACCTAAACTATGGGAATGATGGTATATTCCTGATTATGGGTCATGCACGATGTATATCACCCTAAACCCTAAACCCCTATAGATCCCTTAAAGGAACCTCTTAAAGGTACCCTTATAGACCCCCTTTAAAGGAACCCCAGGATGTATACCATCAACCGTAGGAAGGGAGGCTTGACACTAGCCAGCCTCTTGCTGGAGGCACTTTCGATTGCCAACCTGTCAAAGCTGCAGCTTCGGAGATTTTGGCTGGGGTTTAGGCTTCATGATTCGGTTTAGGGTTTAGGGTTGAGGGTTTAGGGTCTGGCTGGGGCTTAGGCTTCATGATTCAGCATGTAGCACTGGGGAATTGCTAAGCGTGAAGACTGAGAAGAAGGGACGTGCAGCGTTCAGAGGGTTTAGGTTTTAGAAGATCACGATGTGGGTTTTAAGTTTTCCCTAAGGATTGAGGCCCCTATAGTGACTGGCCTCAGCCAGCCGCCTCCGGTCGCACTGCTTCATGGCCGACAGCTCCTGCAGAGAAGTGCATAGCCCCCCTGTTTGGGAATGTTAGGCTTAGGGTTTAGGGTTTAGGGATTGGGGTTTAGGGTGATAAGGCTTAGGGTCGGTGCTGCTTTTTCGGTGCCATGGAATAATCACTTCTCTGACAGTACGTTGTTGATGGGTAAGCGTGACATGAGGAAGCTGAAAAGCTCTTGAGGCTTCGAATGGGCAGATCAAAAAAGAGAACGAGCGAGAGGTATGGAGAGAGAGAGAGAGATAAAGATATCCACTGGCCTTTATATATATATATATATATGTATATGCAGGCAGATGGAGACATATGTGCACTATATGTATGTGTACACACATGGCCGAACCGATGATTACTTGTTGAGTCGATGGCATCGACATCGGGCCCACCTCTGTCAGCTTGTGCACTGCGACATTCACCTGCCACTTATCCTAGGCATCTAAGGACTCATATATCAAGGCTTTTGGGCCCAAAGACCACATTGTATAAGGCTTTTGGGCTATTTTGATGCCAAGGGTTATCTTGGTCTACAGCTGAAAACGAGCTTCGTGTTTGTTTTCAAAGGGATGCTGAGGCCTCGCCTGTTACTCAACAGCTCGACCCAAAACCCCAAACAAGCGACACCAACACAATGCGGATGGGCTGCGCATGAGGTCCCGACGATGGCAGTTGCCTCTTAGATTTTGCATCCGGCTGTGGTGTAGAGATCCGAGTATAAACCCTTATTCCTAAACGTGCTTTTTAGGGTGTAGGGCAGTGTAGGGCGTAGGGTTGAGGAACTAGGGTTTTGGCTTTAGGGTTGAAGCACTGAGACCCGAACCTCAATGATGCAAATAATCCCTCTGTAAGGAACACCGCAGCAATCCGTACATAAACGCTCTCTCTGACAAAGGTTAAGACAGAAACCCAAGCTCTGGATTGCCCAAGCAGGATGGAGGTTTTACCTTAGGGTAATCCACTCCCGCGCCTCTGCGGAGCATCCAGAAACACTAGTTTTAGTCGCCAGCATGGCTCCTGTTTCCAGGACTATAAGTGGATGTTCTTAACGAATGCGTCCGACGCCTATATTAAACCCTCATAACATAGATATCCTTCTAAAGAATATAAGAGCTCTTGTAGCAACCTTGACAAACCGTGCCTTGCCAAAAGCCCCACGGCCCAGGAGGCGGCCCACAGCATAACAGTCCATGCTGTTAGTGCTGGACCTCAGGCGAAGATGCGGGCCTCAAATTGAAAACTTGATGAACGGAAACGGTTTTGGTATAAAATACATGTGTAGTCATGAGAGAGTTAAACAGTTACATGTGGATCGTGTTGGTAATTCTTCCCACCTGGAGCAACAGGGACTGAGGGTTTTAGGATTTCTTCGGGTCGTTAGCCAAAAAGCAGGGCTTGTGGCGATCTGGGTTTAGGGCTGTGGGTTTAAGGCGCGAGGTTTCCTTGCTTCAAAAAGCAACCCTAAACCCAAACCCTGTAAGATTGTAAGATGTATGTCTCAAGTTGCTTCGCACCAAGTTTCCCCAATACAGGCCAGGGGCCTTCAGAACTACAACAGAGTGTTGGGGTACGTCATACAAATGGGTTACCATTACATTGTTCCGAACCTATGCCCTCAAGCCACGAACCATATGCTAAATTCTTAGATAGAGCTTGCAGAATGCTTGGAAACCCAGAGGGATGTACCGGAAAAACCCTTGACACTCAGTACGAGTGTTAGGGTTCAAGGTCTAGCATTTAGGGTTTAGGGTTTTATTTCAGGGTCAGCAGTTTATGCTTTACTGTTGAAGCTTTCTCACTGCGAGCTGTTGAGTTGAGAGCTTCTGCGGGCCTTGTTTGTTCACCCAAACCCCCAAATGCGGAACCGTTGGGAAGGTCTAACTTGGGCTGCTGGGTTCCAAGTACTGTACCTAGCCTACACTTTAGGTCAAGTTGAACCCCTCCCAAACCCTCCCAGTATATGAAGATCATCAATACCTTCTGGCACCGGTTGAAGCCCTGTGCACTCTAAACTTCCAAAGTCCTACAACCCGCACCCCTAAAAGCCCAAAAAGATTACCCTCCTCAGGCCAGCACGGCCCTTGGCTTAACAGGTTGGACGAAGCGGTCCGTGTTGCGCCTGTAAGTACCCGCTGCAGGCTTTTGGGCTCAGTGTTGCAATGCTTAGGCCTAGGGTTTTCAGGGACATGCGCGGCCTATGGAATATTTACACGTAGGTCTGAGGGCTAAAGATGTCTCAAATATGCGATCAAAGATGCTATTGACATTCTAGAACGACCTTGAGTGTTGAAATCTTCGCAGCCTGCTGTTATGAAAATTCTCGTTACCATGCTAGGCGTCGAGGACTCAGGAGTGTTCATATGTGGGCTTCACTTGGTTTCAAGGCATCCGCAAGGTCTGTGGGTGTATCGTCTGTGTGTGCGTGTTGTTTTTTCTCTGTTGGTGGAGGGGGGTCGATGCGTTGGTGGCCTCAGCCCAGAACCCTCGGGAGTATCCAAAAAGTAGATCCCTTAATGGGGGTTCCTATAAAGCACCCTTAGTAGTATGGGGCCCCAATTAGGGGACCTACTTTCCCTAAACCCTAAGCCCTAAACCCTATACCCTAAACCCTAAACCCTATACCCTAAACCCTATACCCTAAACCCTAAACCCTCCGGAAGGTCTGGGAGACGATACAGAGACGGCGAACCGGGCGTCGATTTTAGGTCAGGCTTTCCCGTGACGCAAGACATGCCTAAGATTCCATGTGCCCATTCATATAGTATATACTATATACTTAGGTTTAGGGTTTAGGGTTTAGGGTTTAGGGTTTAGGGCTTAAACTACCCATAGAAAGACCTCTTTAAGGCTTTAAGTATCTACTATAAAGCTACACGGAGCCTTTGGACTTGCTTGGATTTCCAACCTGGACGTCTGCATGAGACGGGTGCGATTCCAGCGACTCCGCAACCCTCAGATGTTTTTAGATGCACCTTAACCCCAAGTAACCTACCTTTTTAAGGACTTATATAAAGAAATCATATTAGGAAGCCCTCAAAAGGTAGGTTCCGCAGGGTCCAGGTAGTGTTCAGGGTTTCAGGCTTTAGGGGAGTTGAGATGCCACGCACATTTGGCTGGAGCTCCAAACGGCCAGGAGAAGAACCATCCGAAGCACAGAAGACACGATGTGCCACCCTAGGCAGGTGATCTTAGGGAAAAGCGGTGCCGAAGGCTGTGGCTGCGGCGGTTGATGATTTCACGCTCTGTTCAACTTCAGAGAAGGTAGGAGGTTCTTTCACGACTCGAACTTTGGAATTTAGGGCTCGGGGTGTCCGGAGATTTTATGATGTCCAGATGTATTCAGCATTCAAATTCCTGAACTCAGCAAGCTCGATCTGGATGTGAGTTAAGCCTCAAGCCGCTCAACCCAGATCAACAGAACATCAAGCACCCTACACTACATACCCTGCACTTCTTAACAGTAACTCCTCTGAACTTCAAGCTTGAAACCCCCAAGCCCGAAACAGTTTGAGTCCTTCTGATTATCTAAAACCTTACGGGAGCTGCGACAAAGACCGCGTAAAGCTTAAGCACATCGCTGCTTGTCCGCACCCGGAAGTTCATGAGACTTAGTAAACAAGGCTATAAATGCCCGGATTGCGGTTACAAGTTTCCACAAGTACAGTTACCTTATCTATAACCCCAGCTACACCAAAAAAAACCTTAAACCCTGGTCCTATGATCCTTCAAGTACCCGCCCCGCCATCGCGCTCTTTCCTTCGAGCAGCGGCAGCGGGGGCCTCGGCCGATAGCGTTTAGGTTTTCGGGTTTAGGGTTTAGATTTTAGGGTATAACGTTTAGGTTTTAGGGTTTAAGGATGCTCAACTTTTGGGGTTTCGGGCTTTGGGACATGCACAAGGTGAAGAAGCAACTGCAGTGATCGCGATTATGTTCGGCATCCACTTTGATCCAACTTTCGTGCACTTGCATGAGGTCCATGTATGATGTACGGGTTTTCAGTAGTGATCTCGTCGAGGCGGATCCCTATGCAACGACGACCACCTACCAAATCTAATCATCGCCGTTCTCATCTTTACAGTTCAAGCAAGTATCATATTGGTCGACATCTCATCAACAACATCACGATAACCATTAGCAGCAGCATCGTTATCTTCCCCCTCGGCATCACAGCTGCATCGCTCGTCACTGCGGTCATAACCGTTGCAACCATACCTATCCGACAGCGACCACTGCTACCACGGCTATTTCTGCTGACAGGAGTGCTTGTCCGTTGCATCCTCATGCAGCGCTCTCCTGGAGCTACTAGACCGCGACTGTTGTGTTGCCGTTGTCCCGTTGTTGGTGGAGTCATTGCTGTGTCACTGCTGTTGTGGTTCAGGTCGCACCGTCCCTGAGGGTCCAAGTGCCCAAAACAAATAGTAGGGTTTCAAGGTCCATAAACCATTCAGAGTGTGGATGTTGGGATCTAAAACCCTACTAGTTGGGTACTTGGACCCTCTGGGCGTGGTTGTCGACGGCGACGATTTGGCGCTGATGAGGGGGAGTTACCTATAGTCTCCATTGTAGTCCCTTTTTTTGGTTTAACCAAATATATAAGTAGGATCCTATAAGGTAACCCCAAAAAGGAACTACAATGGAGACTATAGGTAGTAGGTAGGACAACTGCAGCATGCAACCTAAGGTCTTCCGACGCTCCGCCGATGAACCGCGCGGAGCCATGACAAAAAAGAAGCACTATAGGGGCATTTATGCTTAGAATAGGGCTTGGGGTATACTTAGGGGTACTTAGAAATAGTTTTTAATTTTTTGTTATTATACAGAGTAGTCGTGAACGTAGGAATGTTCTAGGATGGTCGTAAAGTAAGAATAGCTGTCGCAGTTATGGCAACAGCAACAGCAGTAGCCATAGTTTACAGTGACGGTAAAGGCAATAGTGGTGATAACATAAAAAATGTATCATGACGTGACATAATTTTGATCAGCCGCGACTGTTTGCATGGAGGGTGTTGCAGTCACTGTTGTCAACACAATGCCCACTGTTGCCATCCGCCGGATGAGTAACGTATATTGCTAACGACCTAAGCGGCGTGAGTCTCAACAACCCTTAACGAAAGCCCCAAACCTAACGACCTGAGAACCCAACATAAATCCGTATCTAAAGCACTCTGTAAACCTAAAACACCAATGACTTCCGAAAACACAAAGCATCGTCAAAGCCCTTAAACCCATCGACCCTGCCGGAAGAAACCCTAAACCCTGAACCCTAAACCCTAAACCCTAGGCCCTAAACCCTGAACCCTAAACCCTCAGCCCTAATCCCTAAACCCTATAATCCCTAAACCCTAATCCCTAAACCCTGAACCCTAAACCCTAGGCCCTAAACCCTATAATCCCTAAACCCTAAACCCTAAGCCCTAGACCCTATAAACCCTAAGCCCGCTAGATGCCCTGCCTCGCCATGGTGGGCCTCCCTTGGTCCCTTCGCGTCGGGCCGCCCAGTGGCCTGCCCGAAAGTCTCAGCTCCTTTTGGGGCTCCTTAAAGGGATCTATAGTAATTGGGCCCTTAATAATAGGGGCTCCTTTAAAAAGGGCTCTATAGAAGGGTTTCTATAAGGGACGAATATGGGTGGTTGTCAAAATTAGGGTCCTTAAAGGGATCTAGAATGGCTTCTATAAGGGTACTATAAGGCTAGTTCTCTAAAGTAGTAAGGATCTATAAGGGTGGTTGTCAATGTTAGTGTCCCTTTTTGGGTCCTTATTACAATACGGCACCTAATATTTAGGGTACCCAAAAAGGGACCCTAAGTTAGACAACCACCCTCATGGGTTCGGATCTTGTGTTCTAGTTGAGGCGACTGCCCACTCTCCCTGCCATTTTTTTCGCACTCAAGATGGTTCTCGAGTTTGGCTTTTGAGATCTGGGTGGAAAAGGGCTTAGAAGGGTTTAGGGTCGAGCGATTTAGCTTTTCTTAGGTATACCTGGACCCTAAGGAACCTACCTTTTTAGGGTTCCCTAATATGATTTCTGTATATAAGTCCTTAAAAAGGTAGGTTACGTGGGGTTAAGGTAAGCCATAGGGTCTCATCAGTTACGACGCAAGGCCGAACGCAGAGCGTTAAAGTTACCTGGACAGAAGGAAGGCTATGCACAATTTTGGGTTACGAAACTCTGTTACAAGCAGAATAGGGTTTAAAGGGGGCAGGTTGTATCATACTCATTCCGTATGCTTCTGCTCGGTTTACGGCTTAGCTCGAGGCAGGCAGGCACTCAAGGATAGTTTAAACGAAGCCGTACAGTAGACCAAAAGTTGGAATCTCAATAGCCTCAATCCTTATAAGAGTGATGTATAGGGAATCCCAGCACTAATTGTCCTAAATCCGGTTTCCAACTTTTGGGGGGTCTACTATAAACCAAGCCCAAGGGTGTTAGGTTTGTTGCAATAAAGACCCGAGGCTCCCTACCTAGAACACGGCCACCCGGCCGGGGCTTAAGCAATACAGGGGCCTTAATGCCTTAATAACTTAAAAAAGGGCTTCTGGGGTTCATCATACTAGAACTATAGCAAGGAACTCCCAAACTAGTATTGTTAGTGATTTAGGCACGGAAATTCTTCCACTCTATATGCACAGGTTGCAAGGCAAGCAGGCAAAGATTCTAGCGACGGCAAAACAATGGAAATTACGTCCCGTACTTCCTGAAACTCCCATAGGGCAGAGTTTATGATCATCTGGTGGGCTTCTTGCGCTCCAGAATGCAATTGAAAATCATGGGCAGCGACAACATCCTGTTAGGGGCTAGAACCGCTGCGGCTTAGGGTTGAGGGGGCAGGGTTTTAGGGTTTAGGAAGTAAGGACTTAGGGTCAGGGTTTAATTCTACATTGTAAGCTAGCATTGTTGTATTTCTTCAAGGTATTGCGCGTGTCTTGATTTCTGTGACAGTTTGAACAATATTTGAGTGCAAATGTCAAGGTTCATGGCTGTTGTTGTTCCGCCCGAAATTGATGATTCTCTCATCCTAAGATCTTTTGGGATTTAGGGGTTAGGGTTTAGACTCAAAGGACTTGTGTTAGCATGTGCTAGCTCTTCGCCAGGACAGTGGGCCCGATCATGCCGCCACCCCTCACGTGCCACAACAAGTAATCACACAAATGCTGCGCAAAACCAACAGGACCTCAACAACCCCCCCCCCCCCCCCTAAACCCTAAACCCTAAAACCCTGAAGCCCTAAACCCTACACCCCCACAACCCTAAACCCCTTGCTCTGGAAGTACCCTGAAGATGCAGCTAGCCCCGAAAGAGCTTGACTACGCTCCTTTTTCAAGCAGAGCAGAAGACAGGATGCAATGTAATAACCATGATTATTTCTTTTTTTTCTTATTAGTATCATGTGTGCTCAGGACTCTGGGGGCCTGGATTCAAGAAGCCTGGTGGCATCCTGGCACGGAACTGAATTTTCAACCCGAGCTCGGAGCGTCATGTCGTCGGTATTCAAGGTGACACGAGACGCGGTGCCGTGCTGCGGCAGTTTGCTCTTGAATTTGCAGCATTTAGCATTGGGCATTGGCATAGGTTGCACACAAACGGAGTTCAGATGCATAAGGCTTTGGCATCCTTTAACCCCAGATTTAGACAGCTGACCGCTGCCTACCAATTCATATCGGGCCAAAGACTTCTGCTGCTGTCAGGTGGAGGCTCGGTATCGCTAGAGCGGGGTGTCCATATAATGTCCGGCCATAGACACACTTTCGCTGCATCTCGAACGTCAGCCTCCTTCTCGCCATCGCGGTCTTTAGTCATCTTCTTTGTTTGCATTTCGCCAGCTGTCATGTCCTTCTCCGGCACAAGAGGGCCAGTGCCTTCTAGTGCAGCGTCCGCACGCGGGGTCCAGCAAATGTCTGGCCAGAGACACTCCGTCTCACCCGCAGGAGCCTGCACGTCGGCTCGCGGACTCCAGTCAATGTCTGGCCAGAGACACTCGTTTGTCCTTGCCGGAGCCTTCATACCGGAGCCGAGAAGGCGGGGTACAGCATCATGACCTGTTGAAGACATGGCCCCAGAATGAACAACTCAGGATCTCTTGCCAGATGAACAACTCAGGATCTCTTGTTCTTGAAGTTGTAGGTCCATGTAGCTGATGCAACTGATGTAATGATTTCGTGTATTCCGGTCAGGCCTGTATGTAAGAAAGCTTGAAAGACGATGCATTTAAATGCAGGCTGCAACGGCCCATGACACTCCGGGTCTGGTGACTCGCCTTACCTGGCGTTTCGTGCTCCCAGAAAACTCAAAGTGAATGCTGGATTTATGCACTCGGAGAACCCTTGAGCAAAACCTGCTTGGCATCCAAGTTTCCCGTGCAGGAACGGGCGTCTCCGGACACAAGTTTTAGGGCTTTGGGATTTAAGGCTCATGGGGTTAAGGATTGGGCTTCCAGGGAATCGCGCAGGGTTTTGGGGCCGCAAACTTGACGGGGTGGGGTTTAGACTGCATGGGTCACGGACTGCAGCCGTAAATTCCTGCCCTTAAATGTGTACTCCGAGACAGCCTGAACCCTACCTATAGGCTCACAACCCCTTGTTCAGGGTGCCCAGCTATTTAGTTAGGATTTGTTATATAATTGAAAGTCGGTAACCTACAAAAGGGGTAGGGTATGAGCTTCTAGGTACCAACAAGGGAGATTAACCAAAACAATAAACTACAGTTCAAACGCTATGGGCCTTTATGGATCTCACTAACCTTTATTAGGCCAGAGGGTTTTCGAGCTCTTAGGATATTTTTAAGGCTGAAACCCTAGTCTACTGAAGCAAGTAAGTCCAAGGTTTAGGGTTTGGGGCTACGGCTCTAGGACTCAAAGTTGTATGGCTGTAGGGTGTGCAGTGTGAATTGTGTCCAAGCTGTATGGACCTCATGATAGGGGGCGGATTCTTGGTATACCCATACCGAGCTAGAACAGGAGCTCACGAGTATTCTTAAAGCAGCCCTAAGTACACTCACGGAGCACTAATCTAAACCCTGAACCCAAACCCAAACCCTACCCCATGTAGGCTCGCTACATGGTCATCGTCGAGTCCGCAACTGCCAACCCTGAATCCCACCAATATGACCTGTACCTTATGGGTTCCTTTAAAGAGTTACGGTAGAGTAGAAGCCAGAAGAATGAAACATCGCTGTCTTCATGCCCTTAAGGTAAGGTAGAGGGAATCCTAGCACTAATCGTCCTGATTACATGTTCCAACTTTCTCGGGTTCACTATACAGGTGCTACAAAACAAACATGAGGACCTGACTATTCACTTATACTGCTTCTGAGGGTTCACTAATATAGCTATAGCTCATACTGTATCACATGACAAAAGTGCGACTTTGTAGGCCCCTCTACAGCCTCAAACAAAGACCAATGTCTTTTCGTGAACGCGAGGTTTAAACGTAACCCTAACGCCGTCGCATGCTTAACACCTTGAGCCGGAAATCCTAAACACACACTTCATTTTAACTGAGGACCCAGAGATGTATATAAATATACCCTAAATCATATAAGGGATAAAGTGTAATTTCAAGTATACCCCTTAACCTTTAACCTTAAACCCTTAACCTCAACCTTAAAGCTTAAATCCTTAACCCTTAACCTTAAACCCTTTTTTACGGGATGTTGGAGTCTCTGGGGAAGGCCAGGGGCTTGGAACGCGGTTTGTTTTAGAACGTAGCTTTTCGGAATGCAGGGCTTAAGCATAAACTATAAATCTAAACCCTATACATCCAAAACCGCAAACTCCATAACAACCTTTTAAAAGTCCAACAAACCCTTTTAAACCCCATAAAACCCTTCTAAAACCATCAAAAAAAATTATAAGACCCCCAAAAACCCGCAACCCCAGGCTCTAAAGGGAACTCCAGAAAGTTGGAATATGGTTTAATGGTAGGATCCCCTATAATTTACCTTAGAGGGGTTACGATAATGATATTCCAACTTTCAGGCTTCTACTGTAAGTGCTCGCCTTGGCTTCCTTGGCTTCGGAAGCTGTGCCTTGGCTCTGAGCTCTTTGCGGTTTACGGTTTACATAGGGTTTAGGGTTTAGGGTTTACATAGGGTCTAGGGTTAAGGGTTTTTGGGATTAGGGTTTAGGGTTTTAGGGGTTGGGGTTTATGGTTTAGGGGCTCCTGTAAAGGGATCAGTAAGGGTTCCTTTCAGGGTTCTGGGGCTTATCTGGAGATTGAAAAACCTACTGTTTTAGAGGTTAGACGCTCTAACCAAGGGGTCATAACCTGCTGCATTATGTGTAACCCTCGTTACTATATAAGTCCCATGATCCTCGAAGAGGGGCTGTAGTAAATGGAACACTTCAAGAATTGCACAAACTAGGTACTTAAAAAGCAGTACAGGTTTAGAGCTTGCTGGGCATCTACTTGAGGGTTTGTGATTAGTACACACTTCGTCGGCAAGCAAAACATATGCCTGTCACAATGATCCCCCCGCTTGTCCACATCCTTCCAGCCTCTCTAAGTCCGAAGACAGCTATATGTCGCCGCCGGTTTCTTGGAGCGGAGGGACACGGTTGCAGATGTTGTCCGGGCACTTGTTGGCTGGGTTCGGACAAGCATCGGTTAACTTGTATTCCTCTGCTATCCTTTCGTACTGGAAGTAGTAGTAGTAGTAGTAGTAGTAGCAGTAGTAGTAGTAGTAGTAGTCGTGGTGGTGGTGGTGGTAGTGTAGTAGTAGTAGTAGTAGTAGTAGTGGTGGTGGTAGTAGTGGTGGTACTGGTAGTGGTAGTGGTAGTGGTAGTGGTAGTGGTAGTGGTAGTGGTAGTGGTAGTGGTAGTGGTAGTGGTAGTGGTAGTGGTAGTGGTCGTGGTAGTAGTGGAAGTTGTAATTAGTAGTAATTAGTAGTAATTCGTAGTAATTAGTAGTAATTAGTACTAATTAGTAGTAATCAGTAGTAGTCGTGGTGGAGTTTAGTGATTTCGGAAGTTCAGGCCGAAAGGGAGACATGGGCTAGAGCTGCTGAATGACAAATGCGCGCGAATACAGCACGTTTGAATGCTCAATGTGCCCTCGCGCTGTACACCGTGTTTACCGTCCCGCCGGCCCAAGCATCGTACAGTCGTGCCCTAATGACCACACCCACCCACCATGGGAACGCTTAGGTTTCCGGAGTTAGGGAGCCTGTGTCTTTTGGGCACGCAGGGCGCCAGGAGCTCTTACTCTTTAGGATGGTTTTGGGTCTGAGATGCTCTATGGGTCTATATTATAAGACCTACAAAAAGTGTTCCTTTGGTATTCTTATACTGTTGTACTTATTCTACACGAAAATGCTGCTTTACTTATCAAGGCCCTTATATGACTCCAGACCGTGAGAGGTCTCTCAGCTCCACACCAGCTGCCGTTGGCCCTGGGATGTCTGCCTCCACAGAAACGTCACACACAGATAACTGCAAGGTGTAATGCAGGGGCCGGAATAATTAGAATGGGGTTTGGGGGCCAATTATACTATAATTCGCCTCGGCCCCGGCCGAAGCGGTCAGAGGTTCCTATTCGGATTCCCTCTATTCCCCACCTCTTAATCCCCTCCCCAGTGCCACACCAAAAACGGCGCCACTGCCCCCCCCCTTAAAAACGGAAACGTGTCACTGAGCTCCAAGGTACGGCGGTGAATTCTCGCCCCAACGGATTTTGGCTTCTGTGACCCCCCCCTCCCCCCCCTCCCCGCTCCCCCCCCCCTCCCCCCTCCTCCGCTCGCTGACAGGTGCGAGCTTTCTGGAGTTTTCGACGACACGGGATTGCAATGTTTATGTGTTGGGGCTCGCCTTTAAGGCTGCAGTACCAAGCGAGAGTCTTGGTATCGAATTGATGGCTTTGCGTCTCAGGCTTGTTTTAGACGCCCTTTCGTTGGGATGGGCGGAGTAACGTGGTTGAAAAGGCTGTGATGCTTCCCTAATCCAAGACGCCCACGAAATCCACAGCCTCAACGGCCCATACTTAAGGCATCCCGCCGCTTGCGAGAGTCTTGGTATCCAGTGTTTCGGAATGACGACACCAAAATTCGTACTGATACTACCACTACTAATACTACTCACAATCATCCTGCTTCGTGTTGCTATGAACATTACTTTTACTATAAGTGCGATTCCAACTGTTACTTTCTTCCTACAAGAGCTTGCTGCAGATAGTAGCCACTCGCCGCATGCGCGTACAGCCGGGCCGAGGCGGACGACGCGCAGCGTTTCAATTATAATAAGGAACCCCCAGAAAATGTAGTATGGGTAATTTTTTAGGCCCCTATAGTAACCGCCAGGTGTTGGGTTTACATCGAACTACCAGCACCTGCTTCTTATTGTAGGACCCCTGTAGATTTTAACTGAGGGTTTTTTAAACATGGCCAAAAAGTGGGTTCTGGTAGTTCAAGGCAGGATTTACAAGGTTTGCAAGGTGTGCAGTGGTGTTGGGCCGAAAAATGATTACTAGAAGGCTGGCCTCGAAACTTCAAAACCCAAAAGCCCTAAGCATGACTATAGGGGTCCTTAATGATTAGCACAGGGTTCCTTTAAAGCGTCTATAAGGGCTACTATAAGGGCTATTGTAAGGATTTAGTGTATATATGGGTCTTAATGATTAGCATAGGGTTTTGGGGGGGTATATTATACTAGATTTATAATAAGGAACACCCCAATATAGTATAGGTAGTTATTGGTGCCCCTATATTAAGCATGACAGGACGATGGAGCCTGGGACACGGACCCCTAGGATTCAGAGCTCGCGAAAACTAAGGCTCGTGGGGTTTAGGCCAGTCAAGCCATGCAAGGATCGGCTCCCAGTTCGCATTTCAAACGGTTACCCAGAGAACCCAATACCCCTTAATTTAAGGAATAAACCTTAAATTATAAGGGGCTTCAGAATATGATTTAAGCTATATTCCTTAATTAAGGGATATTGGGTTCTCTGGGTACGGAGCCTGGGGCTTTGCCTCATGACGGCACAGACCGGCTGCAAGGTCTTGCAAAATGAGACAAACGTGTCGCGGTGGTCCTGGACCTCGTCCTGGCCGGGATCAATCTCCTGGAAATCTTGGGCGCCTGAAGCTTGGCTGGGCTGGAAATTTGATCTCCTAGTCACCAGCCATGCTTCGACAAAAGCACGGCATCTATCCTCCCTATTCCAGCATGTGCTGAAAGAAGGCTCCACAAGCGTAGCTGCTGAGCTTCGTAGGAAGCCGGCATCCGCCCACATGCTTGCTGCGCCTATGAGCGTCTAGGGGAACAACAATTAACCACTCTAAGAAACTTATATATGGGAACTTGGACCAACTTGAATGACACTCCCATGAAAGTTTCCTCCAAGCTCCAGGGTGTACCTCCCAAACCTACCCATCCCACTCAGATGAAGCTTCTCGTCCCGGATATCCGTGAAGTGTGAATGGATTCCCCAGACGAAGCTAGGTTTAGGGTTGAAGCTGAGGGTGCCGGTAAACTTAACTGAATCCCTTGATCCATGTCATGTATACCCTATAGAGGATGCCAAAACTGCCGAGGACCGTGATACCTATGCATATCCTTCGACACCCTCGATCCCGGCAGTAACTCTACCTGCTTCCGGATTAGCTAAACATCCCCTTAGACCCATATTAAGCTCTAACCTCAGTATCCCTACATAACCTGAGAAGATCTATCAGGCCGTAAACCCTACCTAAATCCTGCAAACTTGGGCTAGGCTCCTGATTCTGACTTCCAGATATGTACTGGCAAAATAATGGTTTAGGGGTGTTCAGGTAAACCCTAAACCCCCTAAACCCAAAACCTAAAACCTTTGTAGAAGTCCAATGGAGCTCCTTGCACCAAAGTCAAACCCTGAAGCCTAAGATCCCTTAAACCAGACCTGTAGCTCCAAACCCTACAAAATTGTGGGTTATGGCCCCTCAATTATTATTATAGAGTCTAACCGTGCCTAACCCTTAAAGTGGTAGATTTTCGGATCCACAGGCAGGAAGTCCGACACCGAAACCCTAAACCCTACAGTACCGTTATAGCTTTAGGGTTTTGTGTTCAGGGGTTAAGGCTTAGGGATCAGATGAGTTTACGGCTCAAAGTATATATAGTGGCATTGGAAGAACCCTGGAAAGAACCCCTCTACAACCCCCAACCCCCAAACCCTAAACCCCTGAATCCTAAATTCCCTAAACCCTATAACGCCTAAATCCCTAAACCCCTAAACCCTAAACCCTTAAACCCTACAAACCCCAAAACCCTAATTCCTAAACCCCAAACCCCAAAACTCTAAATCCTAAATCCCTATAAACCCTAAAAACCCGAAACCCCTAAATCCTAAATCCCTAAACCCTATAAACCCTATAAACCCTATAAACCCCCAAACTCTAAATCCAAAATCCCTAAACCCCAAAACCCTATAAACCCTCTAAACCCAAACCCTAATTACCTGAACCGTATAGATCCCTTATAGATCCCTTTAAAGGAGCCTAGGTAGATCCCTTTAAAGGAACCCTAAACCCTCCAAGCACGGCCTTCTTTCGCGCCGCCGTGCGTGCGGGGTCCCGGCCGAGGCGTGGGGCCTTTTTTAAGGACACTCATACTTGAAGGATCTGTGTAGGGTTTAGGGTTTAGGGCTTAGGGCTTAGGGGTTTAGGATCATGGGACTTTGTTATTGGGGTTATAAATAAGGTAATCATACTTATAACCCCGATTAAGGTACTTAGAACCTTACTTACTAAGTCCCATGCTCCTCCAAGTAGGGTTCATGGTTCCTTTAAAAATGCGATTAAGGGTTCCTTTACGGGTTCCATTAAGGGTTTTCCTTTAAGGGTTCTATATAGGGTTTAGGGTATAAGGCTCCATGTACCCAGAAAGCGTCTACTTAGGGCTTAAAGGGCTTCCTATGTACGTACTTTAAGGCCCAAGTATATACTATGTGGGCACATAGCATGGAGCCTTCGGGAAAGGGTTCATGGGTTTAGGGGTTTAGGGTCCCCAAGGGCGTTCCGACGGACTCTTTAAGAGTGCAAGAAGAAGTCTTTGAGAGTACAGGAGTTTAGGTTTAGGGTCTATTTTTTTCAACTTTGAGGCTGCAGGGTTTAGTTAAATTTAGTTTCTTTTTGACTTTGGAAAGTTTCTTCTAGGAGTTTAGAGCTGAGGGGGCTTTAGGGTTTAGGGTTTAGGGTTCTAGAAGGGTTCTGGAATCCAAAGCATCTCGTAAGGTGCTGGGGCTGGCCATAAGGGCTGTTTGCTCCTCCGTCCTCCTTCTGACAGGAAGGGTCGATGGCACAAACCTGTCAACGACTGTTGCAACCTCTGTACTATAGAGGCCTTATTAGGAATTACCTATACTATCTTTTTTTTGGGGGGGTTCCCTATTATAAGTATAGTATCACGGGGTGCCCTGCAACAGAACCCTTAGGGGTATATTAGAAGGTGGTTCGAGGGTCTAGGAGGGCTCGGGGCAAAGACTACTTGTAATTGTAGTCTCCATTGTGTGACGCCACTATCTTGATTTCACTATTTGGTGCATGTGCATGGATTTTTGCATGACGATGACCATCTGCAGACACATCTGTGCCAACCTGTAGACGGTTTGCGGCTTAGGGTTTCTAATGTTCTATTCCTGAGTATTGTAGAAAGCAAACGGCCAGCACCATCACCGTGTTATCGCTGCGTCGTTGTTTACAAGTCCGCACTGGAACATGCGCATGTTTGTGATCACGCAGATGAAGAACATGCCTGGTGATGATGCTGCTAGTTACGAAGAGGATGGTCATGATGATGATGGTGATGATGCTGCTGATGATGATAACTTGACGCACGATGAAGCTGTTGACGGCCGCGATTCGGTATAAGCGCGATGCTCACGCTGGCAACGATGATGATCTCAATTCCTCCGGAACCTGATTGACAAGAGACTATGCAGTAACAATTCAGCCAGCCGAAATGCCCAAGCAGGTCTGCTACGTGTTCCTCAGCTGGTCCTGTACATCACTACTGTCTCCACCATGGGCAGCCTCGCCCCAAGTCACGATGCGTCCATCGGCGAGGATTGCAGCAAAAGCAACGTCATTGGCTTGGATCTGCTGTACACTTTTCAGCTGATCCTGCACGGCACGACTGTCGCCACCACAGCCTGCATGACCCCAGGTCACGACAAAACCATCACCATCAACGGCAGCAAACGCGAAACGAGAGGCTTGGATCTGCCGCATGTTCTTCAGCTGATCCTGCACAGCACCACTGTTGCCGCCGTACCAAGCATCACCCCAGCTGACGACCGATCCATCACCAAGAATGGCAGCAAAAGCACTGTCAGAGGCTTGAATCTGCTGCACATTTTTCAGCTGATCTTGCACAGCCCTGCTGTCGCCGCCTTTGCCAGCATCCCCCCAGGTCACGACCGATCCATCACCAAGGATGGCAGCAAAAGCATTGCGAGAGACTTGGATCTGCTGCACGTCCTTCAGCTGAGCCTGCACAGGTAAACTGTAACCACCAAAGCCAGCATCACCCCAGGTGACGACGGATCCATCGCACAGAATTGCAGCAAAAGCGCGGTCGGTGGCCTGGATCTGCTGCACATTCTTCAGCCGATCTTGCACCGCACCAGTGTGACCTCCACGGTCAGCATGTCCCCATGCTACGACAGAACCATCCTCACAAATAGCGGCAAAAGCGCTGCGAGCGGCTTGTATCCGTAGCACATTCCTCAGCCGTGGCCGCACCAGGCTACTGTCACCGCCACAGTGAGGATTTCCCCATGACACGACAGAGCCATCGTCAAGAAGGGCAGCAAAAGCACCGTCCCCAGCAGCTTGAATCTGCTGTACATTCTGCAGCTGATCCTTCACAGCACTACTGTCTCCGCCAGAGAAAGCGCCGCCCCAGGTCACCACAGAACCATCGCCGCGAATGGCAGCATGAGAGTAGCCAGTGGATGTGATCTGGCGCACATTCTTCAGCTGATGCTGCACGGCACTACTGTCACCACCAGAGATAACAGGACCCCAAGTCACGACAGATCCGTCGCCAAGGATGGCAGCAAAAGCAGCTCCAGTGCCTTGGATCTGCTGCACATGTTTCAGCTGATCCTGCACGGCACGGCTGTCTCCGCCATGGCTAGCAGAACCCCAGGTAACGACAGACCCGTCGCCCAGCATGGCAGCAAAGGCGCCACCGGTGCCACATACTTGGGCATGGCAAGCGGCCAAAGTCAGCGAGTCTTCATTCTCCAATCCGGCATTCTTGATGAGTACAGAAGGATCCAGGGGTCTTCCACAAGTGTCTAGCAGTCGCCCTCTGCCCATTCCAAGTGCGGCCTCTGCCTGTCGCTTCAATGTTTCCACCTCTTCATCCAAGCTGGCCTTTACAGGAGTTGTTTTGCCACTGAGCAGTCCCACCCTCACAGTAATCGACATGTTTCAAGTTTCTCACAGGAGAAGCAAAGCAGCCCGAATCCCGGACTTAGCAGCGGGACACGCAATTCTGGTAATCTAATCCTTCATCCTACAGTAGAAGCCCAAGAGTTGGAAACACATTAGCCTCAATCCTTAAGAGTAATGTATAGGGAATCCCAGCACTATTCTGCCTTAATCCGGTTTCCAACTTTATGGGGTTTACTGTAGACCCATCACCATATCTCTCAAATGATGGATCCTCGAACCGCAACTCATACCATCGCTGAAAGGAGGCTTCAGGGAAGACTAGTTCCACGGATTTGGTTTGCCAGCAGAACTTCGGAGAGAATCTCTGCGATAGCACATGAGTAGCTGTCGATATTTTGAAGGGTGCGACGGGAACTAATTTAGGTTGCTACCCACATACAGCCAGAGTACCGTAGTGGGTGCAGGGGCCGAGGACAGTGCACTTGGGTGCCTTGGCGTTGTCGTCGCCTGAGTCAGAACTTTCATGTCAGGGTCTAGAACCCTAGATTTAAGTTTTAACCCTAAGCTCCAAACCCTACTGACAAACAGTCCTACCGAAACCACACCACTGTGTACCAAGCTAGAACTTGACGATACGCAATGTCAAACCTCTGCTTACAAACCTACCCCAATGCAAGCCCTCTAACTGTAAAGAACCCGAAAACCCTAAACACTGAATCCCTAAACCTCTGTAACCCCAAACTCTAAACCCTGAAACCTCTGAAACCTATATACTGTGATGTATCATTTATTCGCACACACACACACATATATATATATATATATATACACACATGTATACACACATACATACGTAGGGACGATTGGGCTTCCCGACTTCGGATGATGTGGTCCGCCTCTGGGCCTGGGTTCCAGGAGTATTTGCAGTTCCCCTATCCCTGAATTAAAAGGAATACCTAGGGTTCTTTTAAGGGATCCAAACGGGATCCATAGGGTGTAGGGTTTAGGGTTTTGCAATATCGCTTAATCAAGGAATATACTTTAAATCACATCAGGGAGCCTACCGCAGTGTAGCGTATGTCCCTTATTTCCCTTATAGAACCTTTCTAGATCCATTTAAAGAACCCTTGAAGTAACCCTTGGGTGTATACTCCTTATATAGTTTAGGGATATCGGAGTGTCTAGGTCTTCCTGTACCTCGACCCCCGGACTACCCTTTAATATACCTCAAACACCCACTATTGAGGACCATAAGGGCTCTATGAAAAGGGCGCTTGGGGGGGATGCTGGACAAACTTGTTTTTGTGTTTGCCCAGTTTGTTGTTGTTTTCTGTTATTTTCATGGTTTTAGGTTGCTTTGGTTGCTAGTCGTTGTTAGTTTGCGGCCTTTTTTTCGAAGGCCTTTTAACTGTTTAGGGCCTGGGATTTAATGGAGTTTCGGGAAGGCTAGTTTCAAGCTAGGTTTGGTCTCGCAGTAGAATCAGTAGAACCTTCCAGAGAAAGTCCGTGTGATGACACGCGTACGTACCCACAGAGCCCAATACCCCTTAATTAAGGAATATGGCCTAAATTAAATAGGGCTTCATATTATGATTTAAGCTATATTCCTTAATTGAGGGGTATTGGGTTCTCTGGGTACCATAGTGGGTGCAGGTGAAACGGCCGAGTAATTGCAGTTGCCGCTGAGAGCCTTCGTGCAGTCATGATTTAATGCTTGTGGCTCAGGCGGTGCATTGGTGACCCCAGGCTACCATAGCCTGACTTGCATTAGGGATCTTGTCAACAATACTGAAAATTCTGATATGGGAGTTTCCGAAAAGAGGGGACCCTAATATAGTACCCCGAATAGTAGGATCCTTGTTATAAGGGCCCCCCCCAAAAAAAAGGTGCCCTAATTTTCGGAAACTCCCATATAATCGAACTTGTAGGGAACCTGCAAACAACGCAAAGGTTTGGGTAGGCTACTGAACGCTAGAAACCCATCAACCCTAAACTCCAAACCCTAAGGCAAGGATGTCGCACCAAGGCCGTAAAATGGGGCCTTAGTAATTACAACAAGGTTTTGGGCCCCACTATATTACCAATAATACCGGAACCCAATAATTACCAAGCTCTGCGATACCACGGCGAAAGAAAGAAGCTTAATTAGGCTTCGGGCCGAAAATGCTGAATGCCGTGTTCAGGGGTTTAGGGTTTTGGGTTTCGGGTTTAGGGTTTTGGGTTCAAGATTCCTTCTAGGATTTTTCCAACACAAGATAACAACAAAGAGATTCAAAAGCCGCGTTACGGATCTTTCTGTGATATGTGGGTGCCTCCCAGACTAATGCAAGTAACGCTGCTCTTAGACTCTGAGTTCCCAAGAAAACAACAAACCAACTGAGTGGTTGCAGTTGGAAACCGCCAAGACTTATGATACAACCCAAACAGGCATTTATCGGACTTGCGCCCTAAACCCCCTAAAGCCTACCTTAACCCCAAATAACCTACCTTTTTGAGGACGTATAGAACAAGTAGGTTCTTTTAGGGTCCAGGCAAAACCCTAAACGGAAGACTTGACAATCTCAGGTCTTGGCCACGGGTTGTCCAGCAGCAGGCAGCCTGAATCCAAGCCGCCAATGCGGTAGATAAACCCCCGCAAAAAAAATCGATGCCTAAGCCCTAAACTAATTCAGGGGCCTTAATAATTAGAATGTGGTTTTGGGGCAGATTGAACTATAACTATACCTTAGGTAATTATTCAGGCCGCTAAACTAGCCATGAATATCTGAACCTCAAACCCTGGCAGATGTTTGGTTGAACGAAGATGCTTACATGGGTTTTTTAGTCTCAGTCAGGCCGCCCCTCCAGGGGCGTATACGTCTTCAGGTTTTCATGGTTCATAGGTGCTCAGTGTGACTGGGTCTAGTGGTTATTTGACCACAAACGAATGTTTAGGTTTCAGCTCCACAGTGACGCCTGGCAGAACATTCCACAAAGCCAAACTCTTCCTCTTACCTCACAGGCCCAAAACCCAAGAAAATAAAAGCAGAATCGACTACCTTATAAGAACCCCAGAAGTTGAAAAGTTGAGTTCACAGCCAATGAGCTGCTGTATTGACAATTCGTGTGTTCTCGTGTCAGCTATGAGTCTCTATACTGAACTTAGAACCCCAGCAATAATTATAATTGTAGCTGTTTCTTAGGGATTATAATAACCGAAATTTTAAATAACGTTTCTATTTACCCCTAGGGTCTGGCAGCACTTGTGATGGAGCGGCTTTCGGGCTCGCAGCTGAGTTCACGGCGGAACATCACCGCGGCTGTGACCTTCACCAGGGCCCGTTCGAGTTCGCAGAACTTTTAATTAGTGGCTTCACGGGTTTCGGAGGCTCGGGGCTTTGAGGTTGAGAGTTGGAAACTCACGTTCGCTTTCTGTCGTTGAGGGCGTTGTGGTTGCGCGGTTGGGCTTATGTAAGATATAAGATCTCCTTCAGCCCAGTCTAGATTCAAATCAAGGGCATGAAGCCCAACTTGTCAGATAAAAAAATGGCCTCTACGAAGCTGCCTTTTTGCATAGCTCGACGGGGTATAGTATAGCACCTGCAGTTGGCTCCGGCTGTTGCTCGCACTATTGTGCGTCTACCACTACACTTACACTTCCGTAGCCCTTGTTACGAATGAAGTGACCACTCAAAGGGAAGAACAAATATAGTATATACTCTTGGGGCCCACATACCTACTAACTACCTACTAAATACCTGTAGCCCCAAATCCTACACAATAGTAGGTTATGACCCCTTAATTAAATGGTCTAACCTCAAAAACAGTGGGTTTGGGGATCCCCAGGTACCCACTGTATAGATTCTTGGACCCTTTGGGCCACAACCGCGAGGCGGTTAGATGCTTTGCCACCTCAGAGCTGCGGGCTTCTACAGGAGGCTTTGACAAGATAATGTAGATGCCTCTGTACCCACAGGCCCCAAAGTACGTAGTTCCTTTTGGGGATTACCTTATAGGATTCTATATATATATATATATATATATATATATATGAACCCCAAGAGGAACTACTTTGGGGCCTTTGGGTAGCTACGAGAAGGTCTTCTGGGCATATCATAATGTAGTTACAGTACTATTAGTCAGGACAAGTACTTGTTGAAACCTCTATATTTGCACCACATCGCTGCGCCGGCACTTGAACAGCTCGAAGGCACCCAAGCGACTCCCAACGCTCGAGTAGAATTCATGCCATACACGACAGGCATAAAGTCAGTCTGGAAACCCGTGCCCAAGAAATAGAACCGGTGCACTCGATAATCTACAAAACTCACGTTCAGCTGAGCAGGGGGCTCGGGCGTCGTGCAGCCTGGCGTAGTTTCAGCTTCCCAGAAAAAATACAAGCGGGTTCAGAGCTTGCGTGGCGGTTGCGGGCATTTGGACTGAACTGGTCTTTCCCCTGAGTACTGCGCCCCTACTGTAACAGTCTACAATCGGGCTACTATTGAGGGCCCTATATCTCTACCTGTATCCCCAAAACCTACAAAGTAGTAGGTTATGACCCCTTAGTTTGAGGGTCTAAGCCCTAAACCTTAGTAGATCCCCAGGTAAAACTTTCCCTAAGGGTCCATGTATTCATATAGTACGTACATTGGCCTTAAAGTACTCCCTATATCGATACATTGGGCCCGAAGTATACACTGTTTGGGTACATGGACCCTTAGGGCTTATGAATATCATCTACCTGTAGCGCTCAGCGGCGAAAGGTTTCGTGAGTTTAGCCCAAAGGCTCCATGTACCTTTATAGTAGATACTTAAGCCTTTAAGGGGTCCCTATACGGGTACTTAAAGGCCCATTCTGGGAATTAATAAGGGTTCCGTATTTTGGGGTCCTTATAATAAGGATCCTACTATGTAGGGTACTGTATTAGGGTCCCCTATTTTCGGAAACTCCCATATGGGTACATGGAGCCTTATGGTAGTGCTTGCTTGCAGTGGGACCCGGGCTTCGGGTTTGGGATGTCGGTGCCTTGCAGGGGTTAGGGTTAAGGGTTTAGGGTTTAGGGTTTGGGGTTTGGGGTTTAGGGTTGAAGGTCAAGAGCAGCAGCATTGGCTTTCATTGCCATGGGGGACTAAATGTGCACATGTTATATAGATAGATAGATAGATAGATAGATAGATGGTTGAATGTAGGTACACAGATAGATAGATGGACAGATCCATAGATCGACCAGTCGATGGATCGATAGATCGATAGTTAGGTAAACAGATAGAGAGAGAGAGAGAGAGAGAGAGAGAGATAGACAGATAGATCGATTAGATTGATAGTTACATAGGTAGTCGCGCAGATACATAGCGCGAACGCAAAAACCAACCTCATTCCAATCGCCCTTGCAAAAGCCCTACACTGTTACATGCCAACACCCTCCATGCCATATCCGTATACTGGGGTTTAGAGTTTGGTGTTTAGAGGGCTTACGGCGCTTACGGATTTGGCTTTAGGGGTTTAGGGCTTCAGCTGGTGGGTTTAGGGCTTATACGGTCCAGAGCCCCCACGCCAAATCCGTAGACATACCCTGCGACTCGAAAGACTAAAACTCCATGCCAAGACCGGCCATAATCGCAGCGCCGTTCGCTGTGGTCGTCTGCGACATCGGTGAAAAGCCTGGCATGTAGGGCTTTAGTTTACCGGCACCCTGAAAATGCTGTACATTTCCCTGAAGGTACATCTCCGACATAGGTCATTCAGGTAAACGCATATACGATGTGAAAGTATGCAGTACATATGCACATGGAACCGCAAGCCTGTACATTACTTGGAGGATCGTGGGACTTAGAAAGCACGTTTACAACAACCCGAATTGGAGCTATAGGTGTTTGTAATTACGGCTACATTATTTGTAACCCTAGTTACTAAGTCCCATGAACCTTTAAGTACCTTCCTCAGAGACCTCGAAACTCTACATCTGCAGGATTTAAATCCAGAAGTCTTGAGCTCTGTGAACATTACGTGATGTAAAACTAATGTACATTCAATTTACTGCTTCGGGCTAGTTACTTTCCTCATGGTTACTCCTTTACTATAGTAAACCCCCAAAAAAGCTGGAAACCGGATTAAGAACAGTTAGTGTTGGGATTCCCTATACATTACTCTTAAGGATTGAGGGTATCGAACCCTAAACCCTAAACCTGAACCCTAAACCCAAACCCCAAGCCCTAAAGTTTCCAACTTCTGGGCTGCTACTGTAGGGTATATGCCTTTAATTATGGTTTCAGGTATATTCCTTAATTCCCTCATAAAACCCTTATAGATTCCTCTAAGGAACATTTAAGGAACTGCCAAGTGAGTTTGCAGTCTCTGGGTTAATCTTCTGCTTTGGTGTCTGGGCCTTTTAGCAGGACATGCTGTGGGCTATCTGGGAGTTTCGGAAAATTAAGGGTACCTTAGGGTGCCTTTGAAGGGTTACTATAAGGGCTCCTTTACACGGCTAGTATGAGGGTTTAGAGTTTCCGAGGGGTACCTTATATTGAGTTCCTATTTTAAGACTCTACTATTTAGGGTACTATATTGGGGTCCCTTCTTTTCCGAAACCCCCATCTAGATTCCCATGGTTAAGCCATCTGGTTGACTAGCTGTAGCAACCGCCTACAGCAATGCAACAAAGCCACCTGGCACCGTCTTTTCAAAACCCCTTGACCCTAAACCCCTAAATCCTAGTCCCCTAAACCCCCTAAGTCCTAAATAATTCTCTAAATCCTAAACCCCTAAATCCTAAACCGCCTCCGGCTTAGAGAGTGCAGGGAGCTTGTTAGATTCCGGGGTTACCGCCCTTAGCCCTAAAGCCTGAAGGTGGACCATGAAGGCTACAAGTTGGAAACCTAATAGCCTCAGTCCTTAAGAGTCATATATAGGGAATCACGGCACTATTTGGCCTTAATCGGGTTACCAACTTTGTGTAGTCTAATGTAGGGTTAGGGTTTAGGGTTTAGGGGGCCTTATTAGAATGTGGTTTTGGTGCCCATTCTACTATAACTACATTTAAGGAAACCCAAAATATTATAGGACCCTATACCCGAAGTCCCTAAACCTACACGGCCTTCAACCCCCTCCCTGTCCCTGTCCCCTTCGCCACAAATCATAAACCCTAAACACCAAACCCAAATCCTGCAACCCCCCAACCCTTGCAAAACCCCTATAGAGCCCTTTTAGAACTCTTATAAAACCCTGAACCGGCTCATTCCGACTCTACCTTCGCTGCAGACAGTGTTGGATCTTGGAGGAGCCGTGGATGCCTACCATGATGGGGGGTGTCCCAAACGGGGGTCTGGGGGTCTAGGGTATGGTGGGGTGCTCTGGACCAGGGTATATGTGTGCTATGAATGACTCTTGAAAATGCTACGTAGACGTCTGTATGTAAGCATACAGATATACATATACACACATACATGTGTATATATGTACATATATTATACACACGTGTCTACATGTATGTACTTGTTGGTACACGTACATTTTTTGGTCGGGGTTCCAAACAAGTTCCACGCAGATACGTTTGGGGGTGTACGGGAGGGTTTCTGTGAGGATGTCTTCAAGCTAGTAGCTCCATCTTACGGGTGCTTGTTACAAGAATATGGATCCTAATCCAGGCTTCAATATTGGCACGCTTATGATCTCATACTCCTCCACGAGGCGCCTGCCCGTAAAGAGCTCATGGGCCAGGCTTGTGTCTGGAGAGGATTGGGTTCCCGGTTTAGGGTTCAAGCTTCAATTTTAGGGTTGAAGGTTTGTTTAATAGTTCAGGGTTTAGCTTCGCTTTACGGTTTGGGGGGCTAGATCTACTTGGAAAGAGAGAGGAGACTTAGTAAGTAGGTTATAAGTAGAGTTATAAGCACCCTGAACGGAGTTACCCCACTTGTAACCCTACCTCTAAACGACTTACTAAGTCCCCTGCCCCTCCAAGTACTTGGAGCCGTCTCTGGGAATACTAGACTCTACTCTGTTTTGCAAATATCGACCCGGTACCCGGGTAAACCCTAAACCCATAAATCCTGCAGGGCAGCCCAAGTCCACCCATCATCGACCTTGGTTTATCTAGATATTGGGTTTAGGGTTTAGGGTTTAGGGATTAGGGATTAAGGTTTAGGGCTGAGGGATTAGGATTTAGGGATTAGGGTTTAGGGATTGATCTGTGGTCCTTTTTGAGGAAACTGCTGTACTTTGCACGGATTACCCGAACAAAGAGGGTCACAAAACCTCGGACCGCATTGAAGGCTTAAATTTGACATGATGTACCCATTGCGAACCCTATACTAGGCTCGAAGAGGCCTAAGCATATAACACAATTGTGCACTGCAACCCCTAGCAGAACCCTGTACATGACAGAAGTTCATTGATCCCAAAAACTCCAACACCATTGGATTAAGGAATATACTTGGACGATCAGGGGACTTAGTAAGTCGTTTATAAGTAGGGTTATAATTGTGGTAACCCCACTTAAGTTACTTATAACTCTACTTATAACCTACTTACTAAGTCCCCTGCACCTCCAAGTACCCTAAACTACAGTACAAGTAGGATCGATAGCATGCTTTGAAGCATATTCCATCATAAAGCGATATTGGGGTCCCCTAAACCCTGAACACTGTAGATCCCGTAAAGGAACCCTAGGTATTCCGAAAGTAAGGGGCATTGGAGTCTCTGGGACCCTCAGAGAGAACCCTTTCTGACGTGTCAAGTTTTTCGGCGGCACACCCAGCCTCCGAGCCAGCAGGAGTCGGGGCAGCCTCATGCTTTCCGCAGTTCATGTGGGTGGTCGTCAAGATTAGGGTTCGGTTTTGGGTACCCTAAAATGTTAGGTGCCGTACTATATTTGGGACCCAAAAAGGGACCATAATTTTGACAACCACCCATGTGTTAGGGGTTTAGGGTTTAGGGGTTTAGGGCCTAGGATCGTGAGGGCAGTTCATGTGTTTGGGGTTTAGGGTTTAGGGGTTTAGGGCTTAGGGTCTTGAGGGCAGCTCATGTGTTTGGGGCTTAGGGTTCAGGGGTCTAGCGGTTTAGGGCTTAGGGTCGTGAGGGTAATTCATGTGTCTGGGGTTTAGGGAATTAGGGTTTAGGGGTTGAGGGCTTTACTGGTTTAGGGTTTCCGGATTATGGGTTTAGGGGCTATGTTGCCCAGAGAAACCTGCCTCATCAAGTGGGGAAAAAAAGAAACGCTAAACATTCGAAGCCGAAAACATAGCCCTGAAACCTACCCGAAAACCTAATCAAGCCGTAGTGCTTGTGTGGGGCTATCGCTTCAGACGTGTGAGACCTGTGCTTTCCTCATAAGCCCACTAAACCCGAAACCCCAAACCTCTAATTAAACCATAAAGTAAACAAGCCCTAAACCCCAAAACCTAAACCCTGAACGGGACCGAGCTCCGACAACCTAAACCCAAAAGAAAGAAGGGTAACCCAAACCCGATACCCAAAAGGCATCCACAGACCATGGTGATGGAGGCTGAATAATTAGAATACGGTTTTGTGGTCTGGTCTAGTATACTTATGATAAGGATTTCTAAGGAATAGTATGGCCAAATATTTAGGCCTCTATACTAGTCGTTTCGGCAGTGCCCCCAAACCCTAAACCCTAAATGGGTCCAGGGAAAGCAAGCCAACTTGGAGGATCATGGGACTTAGTAAGTAAGGTTATAGTTACCTTAATTGAGATAATAAGTAACTTTAAGTATGGTTACCTTATTTGTAACCCTAGCTACTAAGTCCCATGGTCCTTTAAGAAGGCGCCTCATCGATCGCGGCCATGTCCAGCGCTTTCCCCACCTGTCGACAAAAAACAAAGGTAAGGCCTCGCCTGATAGGTTGAGCCTACCTGTGGATCCCAAAACCTACAATTTTAAGGGTCCTATCCTCTAATTAAGGGTTCATAACCTACAATTTTAAGGTTCCCATCCTCTAATTAAGGGTTCATAACCTACTATTTTGTAGGGTTTGAGGTCACAGGTACTTAAAGGATCGTTGGAATTAGTAACTAGGGTTGGGTTGTATACCCGCCAACACAACGTTCGCGTGCACAAAGCACTGCCATGCAGATAGCTATGCGGCAGGGTCGAAACCACGAAAGTACTGTGGCACACAGCATTTTCTGCACGTATGCAAAGCGGCAATTCGTCGAAAGTCACACTAGGACACTGCAGCGATCCTTATCAGTTGAAGAGCCATGCGGATTAGAGCGTGGACGTTATCATGGTTGGACCATGGGTGGTGTCTTCTCAGAACGGATTAGACCATGGACGTCATCACGCTTCTGAAATGGATGCTCTCTTCTCTGAACGGATTAGACCATGGTCGTCATATGGTTCCCAGATAGATGCTCTCGTCTCAGAACGGACCAAACCATGGACGTCATCATGGTCGGGCCATGGATGCTCTTTTCTCAAAGCGGACTGGACAATGGACGCCATGGATGCTTTCTTCTCAGAACGGACGAGACCATGGACGTCATCATGGTTTGGCCATGGATGCCTCAACTCAGAACGGATAAGATCAAGCACGTCGTTATGGTTGGGCATGGATGCTCTGAACTCACAATGCGCAAAAACCACTGTGCGCACCAAGGTTTTGAGCATATCGAAATACGGGAGGTGCGGGAAATGCTGCGTGTGCCAGCATTTTCTGCGACAGCAGAAGCAGCACTCTTGCGCGCGAACGTGGTATTGGTGGGTATCAACAGGTAACTATACAATGAACTAGTTATAACCCAAAGCTAAGGTACTTGCAACCGTATAGTTACTAGCTACTACAGGTCCCATGAACCTCCGAGTAAGCTCATGGAGAAAGATCCTGAGAATCCTGAAGGTACACCCTCTCAAGAGTAGGATAGTTGCTACAAGTTATCCCTTCACCTCTCTTTTTCTCCTTCGATGCGGAGACCCTGGTGTAAAGACAACCCCCGCTTTGGTTCTTCAAGCTCGACCAGGAAAGAGGAATCCAAGGACACACAGCGCGTGTGCATTTTCATCTTCCGAGTCAGCAAGGTCGCGTCACCTCTAAAGCGCAAGACTACAGTTTAGGGCTGAGCATTTCATGTATGCTACCCATACTCCCTTCCCTAAACCCTCTAAATCCTAGACCCTAAACCGATAAGCCTGATTTCTTATAAACCCTATAGGCCATACACTAATCCCCAAGTCCTGAACCCTTAACTCCGACCGGAGCGCCGTCGAATCTCTTGAGTGTAACTGCTAGGCAGGTCGCTCCTCCCGTCCTCCAAGCCATGCCCAGCTGGATATCTTGAACTACAAGTACCACGGTTTAAAGGTTAGGGTTTAGAGTTTAGGGTTTAGCCTACTTTTTTAATGTCAATGTATAAGGTACTCGCATCCGTCGCTCCACCTCTCTATGTACCTCCGCAGTGTTTCCGTCATTGTTTCCATCACTGTACTCTGGGTACTCTGGTCGACGTTCTGCTTTCGAAGAAAGCCCGCCCGGAGAAGCTCTGGCCACATGTCGAACTCCCGGATCGACGCGCCACTGGCCACCTAGGATACCCAGTAACCCAAGAATAATAAGGCCTCTCTTTTTGGTATTGTGTAACTTTATAAGGAACCTAGGACTACAAAAAGGGAATAAGGGTACTACTGGGCATCCTAGCCACTGGTGTCATGGGATAGGAAAGCCCTCCTCAGCTTCGCCATGACTTGTTCTTTCGTGTCGGTGTCATCTGGCATTGCCCTACAGTTCTTGCGCAGCCAATACTTGTTCTCTGGCTGGCTCACAAACCTGCGCACAGCTCTTGAAAAGTCGTTGTTGACTTCATCGTCTAAGTATCCCAACCTGCGCAGAACCTCCAACACCATGTTCTCTGAGTCTTTGACAATGAAAGGACCCGCGCCGATGTAGACTCTTCTCGGAAGCTCCCCACCGTACGGCCCGTTCACTTCATGACTTTCGTTTCGTTCGCCTCCGATAGGAAGGAAGAATGCCAGATCGTTGCGGTACTCAATCCATGAAGTTCCTGGGCTAGCATCTTTAATTTGTTGGTGTGCTGCTGCGCATCCAGCTTGAGCGGGGAAGACTGTAAGACGTCCGAGGTCATGAGCAAACCAGAACTTGGCCACAGACGGAATGAGGTAGCCACGCTCGCCACGGTAGCCCCACTCCTGTAGGAAGCTTGTCAGCTCGTCGGCGGCTTGATCTTCCCGACGTGCAGCTTGCCACGGCTCTGCTGTCTCGACACGGCCACTGCCATCGGGCTCCAGGAAGGCTCTGACTTTAGGACCCTCCTGGATTCTCCCCAATGGTATCACGCGTGCTCCAGTTTCCTGATATGCTAGAACGCTGGAAACTGCATTGCGTGGGACGAAAACTACTATCTCTCTCTTTGCAGACACGATATTTCTGACGAGGTCAACATAGTCGATGTCGGCTGCCAGCAGGGCAAGGCAGGCACCATCTGCAACCTGGGCCAGATGCGACAGTCTTTCTACAATAACGCCGTCAACATCCTCTCCTGCTCCACTTCCCTCTACGGAGCAGAGGCAGGTGTGCGGATTTTGCTTGAACATGGACCAGCTATCTCGGCCCCGCCGGGAAACATAGACTGTGGTGAAAACAGTTCGGCCTCCCTTCCGCAACTCATTGATAGCGTATATGCAGCCTGCCACCTTCTGGGTATCGCCATCCACCAGGAACTCAGTTTCTCTGTCCCTTCTTGCGCGATGACTAACCTGGAAATTGAAGTAACCAGGAAGAAAAAGTATAGACTTTTATTTCATAATTGTTCCCTCAAGGAACAGGTACCAGAAAAATGTATTCAAGTATGGTACTCCTGACGCCCTGGGCATCCAAATAGCCCAAAAGCCTTATATAATATGGTCTTTGGGCCCACAAGCCTTAATATATAAGTACTTAGATGCCCAGGCACGGAGGATGGTGTCACTCTCGAAGCACGTCGATGGTGGACTTGCTTTACCTGTCGCTGTCATTCCAACAGCAGGGACCCCAAATTTATAAACTGTTTAGGGGTTTAGGGCTTTAGGGTTTGGGGATATCTTAATTCATGCGTCGACTCGACGAAATCTTCCAAGAAAAGCAAGCTTGCGTAGCAGATACCGCTGAATATCCAAAGCTAAAGGACGGATTTGGCCAAAGCCGGAACCCCACATGCTAAAGTCTGATTGCCAGTGCACTGGCCCTGAAAGACATACCCGAACCAACAGGCCATGACACCCGAAGCCCAGAGCAAACCCAACAGGCAAATCCTCAACTATCCCCGATCCCTCTTCGAATCCTATTTCAAAAAATCGAACTTTACAGCCCAAGTAAATGCTTAAAACGGTCAACTCCACTCGGAAACCTGCGACGACGATTCTTGACCTTAAACCCTAGGCTGAAAGACCGCCAGACTCTGCATATGCCTATGGGGCAATGAGATATCAGAGATAGTCGGGATGAGCTAAGAACCCCAATCCCTAAACCCTAAACCCTAAGCCCCAAACCCTAAACCCTAAACCCCAAACCCTGAACCCTAAACCCTAAACCCTACATCCCTAAACCCAGCCCAATGCCTGAATCCTGGACCCACGGCCACGCCTGTACTGATCCCTAGACCCTGGCTCGGGGTTTAGGGTTTAGGGACTGTTGGATAATCTATTTTGTGGCCAGGATCTTTTACAAAGAGACTGAGGTAGCCAAACGAAAGCGTGCAAATTTCAGGATCTAGGCAGTAAGCCAGGTTCTGAGTGCTTAATTGGAGCTGTTAACCAAAGAAGTATAGGTCCCCATCAGACGTATGGCCCAAGTTACCGTAGTTCCTACGTCCCATGATCTTTTAAGCACCCCGCCAAAGCGGGCACAAGCATACAAACACCAAGTGACTGGCCAGCAGCCGACTGTTGCCAATAACGTCCAGCCAACTTTGTACGCGGAGCCGAATATCTGATCTGCAGGCCTCGGACATCAAGACTTCATCATGTAGAACCGAAACTTCCGAATCTTTCGATTGAAATTCGCCGTCAAACGTCAGTCTTGTCGCTCTGCCGCTAGTTGTTACACCACATTTTCGTTAGATAGTATTATGCTCGGTTTGCAGGGGAAGGTCCTTGCAACAAGATGAGGGCTTCTTGCCGCCCTGATCTGACCATCAAGACGTGGCTGGCGCTAGCAGCATCAATAGTCGTGCGGGGAAAAACAAACACAAAACAGTACCAGCAGCTGCAGCTTCGAGCGCCCCACCAACAGAAGCGGCAACCACAATAAAAGCAACAATCTGAGCTTCAAGATCATGGTCTAACTGCATCGGAGTGTTATGCAGCTGTTTGCATAGGGCTTAAGGATTAGATTCGATTTCAATAGTGGTTGACATGTGAGGCATCGACAGGATTGCATTGTTTTCGCAGCATGGGATTTAGCGTTGTGGTGCTGCAACAGTTTTGGCAGCGTGCTGTGTCTTCAAACTTTCGCTGCGTGCATGCTTGGCCCAGACGTTGTTCACGCAGAGGTTGGTAGTTTTTGTTTTATTATTCCCTCGGCCGGGTTCTTTCTCTGCAAGACGTGCAAACATAGAGCGGCCCGAAGACAAGACAGCCAAAATCAGGATTCTTTACTTAGTATGGAGCATATCGCAATTGTGGCCACGAGAGCGTGGCGGTTCCATCAGCATCGACACCACAATCACCAACATGACTTTACCAGCATGAACACTGGAGTCATGATCATACTGGTGATGACTACAGTCATCGTCGAGGTACCATCCGTTTCTATTCCAGGTCGTCACTGTGATCAGCGGTGTTATTGATAGAATGCCTGTTGCTTTCGTTGATGTGAACCGGTTGAGGTTCTGGCTACTGCTGGCTGTCAACCTGTCGATAATTCGCCAAGTCTGTGCAGAGTTGCTGTTCTGGTTGAAGTTGGAAACCTGCCTGTTGGCATTGCTTGACTGGTGATGGTGAGGGTGGTGCTGGTGCTGTGCTGCTGGTGGGGGTGTTTTCCTACAGTCATTTGTCCTGATGCTGATGCTGGTGCTCTTGTTTCTCTAGTGGCTATTTGCAGAATTTAAGCTGGCAATGACGAAACCACCGTAGCCTGCTGTTGGCATTCGTGCTTTTGGTTGCTGGTAGTGATGATGTGCTGCGGTTGCAGCTACCCGTGCTCCTGCTCACGTTGTCGTCGTTGTTGCTGTTGCTGCTGCTGTTGTTTTTGTTGTCTCTGTTGTTGTCGTTGTCGTTGTGGTTGCGGTTGTTGTTGTTGTTGTTATTGCTGCTGCTGGTGTTGGTGTTGGTGTTGGTGTTGGTGTTGGTGTTGGTGTTGGTGTTGGTGTTGGTGTTGTTGGTGTTGTTGTTGTTGTTGTTGTTGTTGTTGTTGTTGTTGTTGTTGTCGATGCTGTTGCCGGTAGCGGTGGTGTTGGCGGTGGTTATGGTGCAGTAGGTTGCGGATTTGAAGATGATGGGTTGTCGTTGCTGCTGCTGTTGTTGTTGTTGTTGTTGTTGTTGTTGTTGTCGCTCCTGCTGTTGCTGCTGTTGTTGTTGCTGCTGCTGCTGATGTTGTTGTTGTTGCCGCTGTTGTTGGCGTTGCTGCTGTTGCTGGTGGTTTTGCTAATGTTGGTGATAGTGATGATGTTGTTGCTGGTGGCCTTGTTGGTCTTATGGGTGATGATGGTGGTGGCGGTGGTGTGGTAGTATTTGCTGGTGTATTTCATGTCGCGGTGTGTGTCCTTGTTGTGCTGGGGCTGTTCTTATTGCTGTTGTCAGCTGTTGTTGGTGGTGGTGGCGGTGGTGCTGGCAATGTGTTTGTTGCTGGTATAGTTCGTGATGGTGTGTGTGGGTGTGGGATGGTGTGGGTGTGTGTGTGTGTGCGAGAGAGAGAGAGAGAGAGAGAGAGAGAGAGAGAGAGAGAGAGAGAGAGAGAGAGAGAGAGAGAGAGAGAGAGAGAGAGAGAGAGAGAGAGAGAGAGAGAGAGAGAGAGAGAGAGAAAGAGAGAGAGAGAGAGAAAGAGAGAGAGAGAGAGAGAGAGAGAGTGTGTGTGTGTGTGTGAGCGCCTTTTGTTATCGTTGTTGTTGCTGTTGCTGCTGTGTTGCTGTTGCTGTTGCTGTAGCGGTAGTAGTGGTAGTTTTGGTAGTAGTGGTGGTAGTCGTAGTAGTAGTAGTGGCAGTAGTAGTGGCAGTAGCAGTAGTAGTACTGGGAGGAGGAGTTGTTGTTGTTATGGTTGTTGTTGTTGCTGTTGCCCGTGGCAGTGGCGGCGGCAGTAGTTGTGTGTATGTGTGCGCTGTGTCGCTGTTGTTATTGTTGCTGATGGCATTGCTATTGCTGTGGCTGCGGCTGTGGGTGCTGCTGTTGCTGTCAGCTGAGGTTGCAGTTGTTGTTGTTGCTGCTGCTATTGCTGTTGTTGTCGTGGTTGTCGTGGTGCTGCAGTTGACTCGGACGTCGCAACTGTTTTTGAATGTTTCTGCCATGGCTGTTGTCTTGGCCCTTGGCCTGGCTATGCTTCAACCTATGATCCCTTCTGGGCCCGGGAAACCCATTCGGGAGTGCGCCTTGCGCCGCTTTGGAACTTGAAGTGCGATCGTCCGATGCACGGTGCTTCCCTCGCTGGACTGCACACCGTGCGAGCTGGATGTAACATCGCTGCGCTTCCGCCACTCCCCTATAACCAACGCAATAAGGCCCTTAGAGTAACCGGTATAGCAGCCTTGAGAGGACCTTGTAGCCCTTTTCGCAACCCTGTTGGAAGCCTCCGAACTCTACGAAGTAGCAACCTATTACTTTGGTGCTGTATCGGGGTCTCCACATTTTCTGAAAATCCACCCTCTGTGCATGAAAGTGTGAGCCAAACATGCGCTGGAAAGATGAAGTCAAGGGCTCTGGGGTTTGGGGTTTAGGCTTTGGGTTTTAATTTAGGGTCTGGCACACTGAACAATGAATCCTGACCGTATCGCTTTCCGACATGCATGCATGAACACAGTTGGGCAATCTGGCTGCAAAAGAAAACATCTTCGCCAACAGTTGATGCGAAGCTCTGTTTCTTTGGAAGTCAGCTCGCGGTCCTCGAACCGCAAAGAGCCTGAAGCATGTTCGTGCTCCGGTGCATGCCGACATCGTAGTACAACGGTGTCATGCTTATCGAAACCCTAAACCCTAAACCCTAAACCCTTAACCGAATAACCCTAGACCCTCAACCCTCGACCCCAAAAAACAAACCCTAAACCGTAAACCCTAAAACCCAGATGCCAAGTGTCAAGGTCTGCTTTGAGGGTGGAGTGGGCTTTCGCGGGAGTCTACACTCGCAGCCAGAAGTTGGTGCTCTGGAGCTTCGGTCGCAGGATTTAGCAAGGCTCTATAAGCTGAAAGCCAGGGTTTAGGAAAGTTTAACCCAACGGCTAAACTACAAACCCCCAAAATCCTGAATCGCCCTTATAGTCTTCACCATATAGAGAGCTCTTATAGAACCTCAAAGGTGCCCCAAAGCCTAAAACCCTCCCAAAGTCCCGTCTTCAAGACCTCTCCCCGCAAAACCTTAAGACCCCTCCTCCTCGCGACGTCGCTGAACTTCCGCTTCGGCGTCTCTTCTTTGCCTCGACTCCTCCTGGAGCTTTCGGTGTATCAGGACCCCCCAAGTACCCTTTAGTAGAGCCCTTATGGTCTTTAATAGTGGGTATGTAGGATACAATCGGTACTGAACTCCTCCACCCTCACCGCCGGTGCTCTCCTCCTCTCGACGTCGCTTCGCCAGGGCTTCGGCTTCCCGCCGTTGTCTGGCTTCCTCCTGGCGTCGGGCTTAGGGTTCGGGTTTAGGGGTTCGGGGTTTGGGGTTTAGGGTTTTAGGGTTTTCGGGGGTTTAGGGTTTCGGGTTTAGGGGTTCGGGGTTTAAGGTTTCGGGTTTAGGGGATCGGGGTTTAGGGTTTCGTGGTTAGGGGTTCGGGGTTCAGGGTTTTAGGGGTTTAGGGGTTTAGGGTCCATGAGGCCCTAAATTCCATAATCCCCGCGCACCCTTTAAAGGGAACTCCAGAAAGTTGGAATATGGTTTCAGGGTAGGATACCTTATAATTTACCATAAAGGGTTTAGGATAACCATATTCCAACTTTCTGGCTTTTACTTTACCCTCATCTGAAACATGTTCAGGGCTTCCCGTTCGATGTTGTGAGCTCCGCGGGTAAATTGCGGTTGCGAGGCCTGGCTTAGCCCTGAACCCTGAACCTAAAACCCTAAACCCCAACCCTAAACCCCTAAACCCTCAACACTACGGGGCTTTATGGCTTCGAGCTTGTGGTCATTTCAAGCTTCCGCTTTGCCGTGGCGCACCAACTTAAGCCCCTGACGCCGAAACATCCCTAAACCTCCAAACAGCGAAAACCGTCTACATCCAAAATTCCTGAAAAGCCTGAAAGCCCCGAACGCAGTACCCTTTACTTATATTCAGTTATTTGTATATACCTTAAATTATAACTGGATCCCTAACAAGATTTAAGAAGGGATATTGCCGTCCCCTATACCCTAAACCCTGTAGATCCCTTATAGATCCCGTAAAGGAACCCTAGATATTCCTGAATTAAGCCCAAAGGCTCCTAGGTGCTATTATGGGGGGATACTTCCAGAAATCAGAATACTAATTCCTGTCATAGATACTTTCTACATTCTACTATACAGCCCAAAGCCTCCATGTACCTTTATAGTCGATACTTAAGCCTTAAGGGGGTCCCTATATAGGTACTGAAAGGCCTAAGTATATACTATATGGGTACATGGAGCCTTAGGGCAGGTACTTTGGACCCTTTGGGAAGGGGTCGTGCTGGGAACAAGCTTCCCTGTCCTCAGCCTTGCGCTGCCTCCGGACGTTTGAGGGCTTAAAGGGTGCAGGGTTTAGGGAATACTTTTAAAAAGGTTCAAGCGACTTAGTAACTATAGAGTTTAGGGATTACTCTTAAATTGAAGTTTTTGTTGGTTTAGGGTTTACCACTTTTAGATATTCAGATTCATGGGACTTAGTAACTAGGGTTATGAATAAAGTAACCATGCGTATAAAACCAATTAGTTATAGCCCGAGTTAAGGTACTTATGACCTAACTCTACTTACCAAGTCCCATGAACCTCCAAGCAGGGGTGTAGGGACCGGGTGTAAAGTTTATCAAAGGTACAAGCTGGTAGTGTTTGGAGGGCTTTAGGGTTTGGCGGGCTTTTCGGTGTTTAGGGTTTGAGGTTTAGAACCCTAAACCCTATACCCTAAACCCTGAGGTGTTTGTTCCGAAGGTTTTGCGACTTCAAGGGTCTACTTGGAGGTTTATGGGACTTGGTAAATAGGGTTAAGTATAAGTACCTTAACTGCGGTTAGATGCAGTTAAAAGTGTAGTTGCCTTGTTTATGAGCCTCGTTGCTAAGTCCCAAAAGCTCCAAGTAGCTGGTCCGGGTTGAAGGGTTTCAGGGTCGCGGACGTTACCGATAGTCTCCATGGTAGCTCCTTTTTTTGGGTTTAACCAATTCTATATTAAGGATCCTAAAACCCCAAATTGGAACTACAATGGAGACTGTGGGTCGGCCTAAACCAGGAAGTCTGAACACGAAGCCCTGCACCTGGAAGCCTGAATCCTTTGAAGGTATGACTGCAGGCTCGTGGGACTTAGACTTAGAAAGTAAGGCCATAGGTACCTGAATTGGGGTTGTAAGCAAAATTGCAATTATGTATAGTTACCTTGTCTATAGTCTATAAGCCTCGGTACTACGTTCCATGAACACATATATGTATGTATGTATGTATGTATGTATGTATGCATGTATGTGTATATATATATATATATAACTCATAGGGACCCTTTGGGGGGTAGGGGGAGGGGGTAGGGGGCCTTAATCCGCACATTCAGGACGTTATAAGGCCTATTTTCCGCCTAATACTACATGTATCCTCAAACCTTTCCCGGCGCAGTGAGACCTAACATATGGGGGGTTAATAATTAGAATAGGGTTTGGGGCCCATTATGCGAATAGTCAAAAGAAGGAACCCCCAAAAAAGTATTGGTAAGTATTGAGGCCCCTATATTAAGTTCGATTCGAGAAAGTGCCTTAGGGATGGACCTTCAAGTGCTCGAGCATCGAAGGCTCGAACAAGACTCAACCAAGGGTTCACGGTGTTTCGTTTAGTGTTTAGGGTTTAGGGTGCAACCTTGAACTAAGAATTGAACCAAACTGAAAACCCTACACGCCCGAACTCCTAAATCCCTCCCCAAACCCGGCAAGGCTTGCAGGGCACCCGAAGCAGAACGATCCCGGACACGGAGGCTGGACCTAAGAGAAACCTAGGAGTAAAAACGGTGCCCTTCTTCGTTTAACGGGGGTTACGAGGGAACCTAAATCCTAGAAAAGGCGAATAAGGGCCTACTCTGGGTCCTAGGAGGTGTTGCTTCTCGGGCCGAGATTTCGGAGATGAATCCAACGGCAAACGCCACCCAAAAACCAAACCCCAAACTCAGTTCAAAAGGGCCGAATGCCGCACCGGAGATTTTAAACCCCGACAAGATATTGGTTTTAGCATTCTCAGACACCCCTCATCGAACCCTTCAGACAGCTTTAGAGACCCCATAAAAGCCGGGTGAAAAAACCCTTATAACTACCTTTACAAACTTAAAGCCACCAACAAAACCCTGAGACTCCAATATCCCTCAATGAAGGCATATACCTTAAATGAAACTAGTGATCCTACTATAGCTTAAGGTATGGTCCTTAATCAAGGGACATTGCGAAACCCTAAACCCTAAATTATTGTAGAACCCTTAAAGGAACCCTTATAAATCCCCTAAAAGGAACCGTGGGAGTCTTCGGAAACCTCATGAAAACAGACTAAACCCCGAAACCGTAAACCCTAAACCTCTAAACCCTTCAGTACCCACCCTAAGGCTCCATGTACCCATCTAGTATATACTTAGGCCGTAACCATATAGTATGTACTTAAGCCGTAAAGTAGCTATATAGGAACCTCTTTAAGGCCTTAGTATCTACTAAACAGGTACATGGAGCCTCTTACTATAAAGGTACAAGGAGCCTGTGGGCTAGGGCTGTTTGGGAACTGCCCAGGAGCCTTTGCGCTTCCTCGTCCGCTTCCTGGCGAGCTCGGGCCTCCGCCTCCTCCGAGGAAGTGGGACAGAATCAGTCGGGTTTAGGGCCCTTTTTTAGTGTTTGATGGAAGGGTTTAGGATTCAGGATTCAGAATTTGGGCTTTAGGGTTTTAGGGTTGAGGGGTTTAGGATTTTGGGCTTTAAGGGTGTAGGGTTTATCGGGTTTAGGACGTTTTCGGGTTTAGGGCTCTGGGTTTAGGACTCAAACCCTGAAAAGCTTAGGATTTGGGTCTTAGGCCCCGAACCTCATAACCAAAAGCACTAGATGGTTCCTTACCTGAAAGCCTAAACACCTAAGGCCTACTCTGCAAGGTCAGGTACCTATGTCGGGTGTAGTAAACTTGTATGCAACGTTGCTTTGTAAGAAACAAGGCTTGCTGGGTTTGCAGCTTCTACAGTGGCTTTAAAGCGGCTTATAAGGAAAACGATAGAGTTTTGCACTCCCTTCTTCAAGAATGTCAAGATCCCTGGAAGGCCCATGCGCCCAACAAACATGGAAATTGGCCTTGACTTGGTTGCCATGGATTAAGTACTTTGGACCCTCTGGGATCTAGATTCTAGATAGCACGACATTGGCACCCTAAACGCTAAACCCCTAAACCCCTAAACCCTAAACCCTTAAACCCTAAACCCCTAACCCTAAACCCTTAAACCCTGAACCCCTGAACCCCTGAACCCTAAACTCCTAAACCCTTAAACCCCGAACCCCTGAACCCTAAACCGTAGCCGCATGCCTGCGACAGTTTAGCGAAACGCCCTCCAGCCCGAAACCTGCAACCCAAAACGACCGACCCTCAAGAGCCATACTCATAGGCTCCATAGTAGTTCCTTTTTTGGGGGTTACCTTATAGGGTTCTAAACGTGAGCCGCATAGTAGTTCCTTGTTGGGGTTACCTTATAGGATTCTACTTATGGACCCCAAACGGAGCTACTATTATGGAGCCTCTGGGTACTCCTGAGTCTCGACATACCATCCCCACTCAACTTGCTATGCAGAAGAACGGCAAAACCTCAAGCACAAACACCGCTGAAAGATCTGCTCCCTGAACCTTTAACCCTAAACCCTTTCATGAATGCTTCGGGGCGTAGGGCCTATTAGGGGACCTTGCCCCTAAGCATAAGCCCTCAATGGAAAGAGAGATCGTGATTTCAGTCTTGCTTGGACCTTGTCCAACTTAGAGTGTATACGTAAGTGTTTGGGGTTTACGACTACCCGAAACCCTCGACCCGGCTTCAAGGAGCATGGACAAAAGCTCCTTAGGGCCTTAGGGTTCGACAGGTTGTCAAGGGCTTACGGGCCGCTGCAAGGTATTAACTAGTCGCGGACTTTTCGCTCTGAACCCTACCTAGCCCGGGCAAGCACTAAGAGGGGGCTAAACGGGGAACGTAATGTACTACCTTTGAAGAGGGCTTTCGGGTTTAGGTTTAAGGGGATCAGGGTTTATAGGGGTCTAGGGGATCAGGGTTTCGAATCTTTAGGTCTAGGCTCCTTATGAATCCCGTCCTCGTAAGGCCCTTCTCTGACTGGGCTCTGTTTTCGTAACAGCAGGGTCATGTCACATCCGGAACGTGACACTTTCAATCCTTCTCCTGGGATCTGACTCTGATCGGTAGAAGTGCCGCAGAACCGTATAGGCATTCCCGATGCAGCTCCGCCTCTCCTCTAGACCATACCTCTCTATGTATCTCCGCATTGCATCCGCCACTGCACTCTGGTCGCCATGCTGCTTTCGAAGAAAGCCCGCCCGGAGGAGCTCCGGGCGCATGTCGGGAGCACGGCGCCACTGGCCACTGGTATCATGTGATAGGAATGCTCTCCTCAGCTTCTCAACCACATCTTCTGCAGTGTCGGTGGGATCGGGCATTGCCTTACAGTTCTTGCGCAGCCAATACGAGTTCTCTGGCATGCTCACGAACGTGAGCAGTGCTTCTGAGAGGTCATTGCTGAATTCCTCGTCTAAGTATCCCATCCTGTGAAGAACTTCCCGCACCATGTCTTCTGAGTCTTCGATGATGAATGGACCCCCGCCTCTGTAAATTGCGCCCGCAAGCTGACCGCCTAACTGCGCATTGACTCTACTAGGTGCTTGCCGGTCACCGACAGGAAGGAAGAATGCAAGATCGTTGCGGTACTCAATCCATGCAGTCCCAGGGCTAGCATATAAAATTTTCTGGTGTGCTGCTGCACATCCAGCTTGAGCGGGGAAGACTGTAAGACGTCCGAGGTCGTGAGCAAACCAGAACTTGGCCACAGACGGAATGAGGTAGCCACGCTCGCCACGGTAGCCCCACTCCTGTAGGAAACTTGTCAGCTCGTCGGCGGCTTGATCTTCCCGACGTGCAGCTTTCCACGGCCCTGCCGTCTCGACACGGCCACTACCATCTGGGTCTAAGAAGGCTCTAATTTTGGGACCCTCCTGAATCTTCCCCAGTGGCAGCACACGTGCCCCGGTCTCCTGGTAAGCATGAACGCTGGAAACTGCACCGCGTGGGACACAGACGACAATATCTCTTCTCGTAGCCACGATGTTCTTGACAAGTTCAACATACCTAGTGTCGGTTGCCAAGAGAGCTAAGCAGGCACCATCTGCCGTCGCAGCCAGGTGCGACAATTTTTCCTTACTACCCCAATAAGCCACAGAAACGAAAGGTTAAACTTTCCGATTCCTGCTAAACTATGATATCCCAAAAAGTTTAAAGGTTGGGTATTGGAGATCTAAGTTTCCGTAACAGCATCCCGTCCTTCTGCTGTTCGTTCGACCGGACAGAGGCAGTTGTAAGCTGATTGCATGAAGTCTGACCACAGCTTGTCGTTTTGTATTTCCGGCTCTGCAAACACGGTAGTGAAAACTTTCCGTCCTTCCTGCTGCAACAGTTGGATAGCCTGTCTGCAGATAGACACCTGACGGGTATAGCCATCCACTAGTAGCTCGGCTTCTCCGTCCCTGCTTGCACGAAGACGTACGAGAGAAGGTGTCGCCCTCGAAGCACGCCGATCGTGGACTTGCTTAGCCTGTCGCTCTCTAACTTGTCTCTGAGTTATATAATATAAAGTTACATAATTATCTCAAGGTAAGTATGGCCCCCAAAGCACACTCTTATAGAACCCTTGTGAAGACCTCGCAACGATTAAGGTTTAGAGGGTTTAGGGCATCGTACACAACTTACAAAGAAGCTTCCAAATTTCAATAGGTCACACGCGACTATACCAGCTAAGCCTGGCAGCCCTGAGCCCTAAACCCATGCATACTTTGAAGCGCGATTCAGTGAAGTTCGCTTGCACAGCATATACTACCACAGTTGCATGGCGCGTCTGCGAAGCTGGAATTCTGTTAGGGTTGACGGTTGAAGGTTCGTGGCGCTGTTTTTATGGTTGCCGGGTTCGGGTTGCAGGTACTCTTTCCTAATTTTACACACAAAGCCGTAGCCGTAGCCCAAATCCAGAAGCAGACCATGTACATGCTTATCAGTCCTGAATCACGCCAATTCCGATGTGGGTGGTTGTCAAAATTATGACCCCTTTTGGGATCCTCATGATAACATGGCACCTATTATTTGGGGTACCCAAAAAGGGACCCTAATTTTGACAACCACCCATGTGTACCCAGACACACCTGAAGACAAGGATCTGGCCTTCGGCCCTGGGTCAATGAACAATAATTCCGAATCGGGGGTTTCGCCCAAAACACAACAAACCGTGAAGCCAGACGGTAGGTTCCTTGCCAAGAGCACCAAGCAGCGGGCCAGCAGCCGACTGCGGCAAAGAACGGCAACCAAACTTTGTGGCCGGATCCGAGCATCTGATTCGAGGTCCTCCGATGTTGAGGTTTAGGGTTTAGGGTTTATGTTGAGGCTTCATGCAGATCTCAGGCCGTCCAAGTCATAAGTTTCATGTGCTGGCTACGCATGAACTCGCTAGTGCTTATATACGAGCTTGCACGCTTTTTTCTGTGGGCTTCCGGGTGAGGTACTTGACAAAGGATGATGTTGAGCTGTGGTTCAGGATGATCAGGAATAGGAGTGCTGAGTTTGACAAGTATGCTCTATACTGGGTTGTGATGGCACTGATGCTGATTCAAGCGGGACGCACTTGCAGGAACTACGGAATCAACTGCGAGGTACATCGTCGTCCGGTAGCAGGAAAAAAGGTTATGACTGGTCCGGTCAAAAACAGTGCGTCATTGTATAAACCAGAATTTTCGGGGTAGCTGTCACCCCGAAACCCTACAAAAGAGTAGGTGATAATTCAATATCCCTGTACTATCAAGTACGACCCCGAGAACGACAGGTTCCCACAAGCCTTGAGCTGCTTCGAGCGCTGAGCCGTGGTCGGATAGGCAGCGCTTCCCTCGCCCAGCATCGGCTCGCGTGAGTCGAAGCCAACATCGCTTCGATCGAACCGCGAGTCTTCCACAGCAGGACAGTCACAAAGGGTTCTGTCTATAAGGGTTCTATAAGGCTTTGCTGTCTACAAAGGGTTCTATAAGGCTTTAGGGTCTAGGAAATTTAGTTTAGGGTACCATAATTAGTGATGGGAATCTATAGCACATAGGAAGCCTAAAAAGTATGACATCGTGGGCAATTTCATGGGGATCCGAGAGTAAGCTGACCGGACGACCGTGAGGCTCCACTGTCTGACTTGATCTAGGGCTTTAGGGTTTAGGGTTTAGGGGTTTAGGTTATCACTGTGGTTGCGAATGAGGGTTCCATGACACACGCACGCACAAACCCATTGTTGCACTTTGTAACCTCGTTAGTTAAAGCCCACGAGTCTTGTAAAGCGCAGCAAAACCTAGAATTTGCAGAGTCGGCCTCTGCAAAGTCACGAAACCGCAGGGGCCCATTTAGGAACAACAATTTGGGCCGACAGTCACTACGTCAATATAGAAGCCTCTTTTTAAGCTTGCTGCGTAGATATATACCACACAGGTACATGGAATTGTGGGGGAATGGCTGCGATGCTATGATGACATAAGTCCCTCGCAGGTAAGCTGTCTGAACTGTCATTAGATCTGGAAGGACCAGCGTTGCTCAAAGCTGTCTGTGGATATCTGATTCGTCCTGGGTACGTCTTCACCAACCCTAATTTTTAGTGTATATATTGGGGCAACCTACTGTTACTAGGATGCCTGTTCGAACTCTGCGAAATATGTGTTCCAACAACTTGCCTAAACGATTGGCCCTAAGTGTCGCGAACTCCGGGTATGAAACCCTAAACCCTAAACCTTAAACCTTAAACCCTAAAACCCTAAACGCTAAACCCTGCCTCCCTCTCGACCATGACGGGTGGTGCAGGCGGCTCTTCCAGCCTTAGCTGTCAAGGGTTTTGTTAGGGTTTAGGGTTTAGGGGTTTAGGGTTTAGGGGTTTAGGGGTTTAGGGTTTAGTCGTCAAGATTTGGAGGTTAGGGCTTAGGCGGGATGTGCCGGATGGGTTTGAGCAGAAGCCAGCAGCAACCACACCTCATTGTGCAACAACCAGGCCGTAGTCAAGCTTCTTTATAATGATATAAAGGCAATGGTAAAGATGACAACAATGATAATTGTAAACAAAACTACCACCACAAAGGCAACAACAATAACTACCACGACAAACAATACTCCTAACCATAATAAGAGCAATGATAACGGTAACAAAAAGATCACTGCAACAACCTAGAGGTTTTGTTACTACTATGACAGTTATTACCATCACTGTTAGTGATCGTATTAGCCATATTGTTGCTACTGCCCTTGTTACTGATTTTCATGCTGTTAACAGTATTCGGTATTGTTCCTGACACGGTTATGCTACTGTTGTTCTTATTACTACTAGCAGTACTGGTACTGGAACTAGTACTTGTAATAGCATTAGTCTTCGTAGTCGTATTTGCAATTGTATGCGTATTCGTGTTCGCACTAGTGCTAGTACCAACACTACTATTAGTATTGGTATCGGTAATAGTAGGAGTATTGGTATTCGTATTAATATTAGTGTCAGTATCAGAAGTACTACTATGTTAGTGCTGGGAATGGTATTAGTAATAGTATGTGTATTAGTATTAGTATTCGTGTTAGTGCCTATTAGTGCTCGTTAGAGTTCTCATCATCATCATCATCATCATCAGTAATCTTTTTATTTTACAGTGAAACTGCTATCATTAAAATGTTTGTTATTATTGTGTTGCTATTGACAATGATGTTGTTACGGTTGTTGTTACTGTTCGTATTATTAGTAATGATATTATTCTTACTGGAACAGCAATTATGATTATGATGACGATGTTGATAATTCTTAACATTATTATTGACTCTGAGGGTGTGCTTGGAGATCTGAATGCTCAGGGCACCAAACCCTAAACGATAAACCATGTTCATCGCAGAGGCCCGGTTGACCTTCAAGATTTGCATTTAGGATCGAAATGGGGGTTGGAAGCGAGGTAGCCCTTTGAAACCCGAAGCCATTTATGTCAAAACTCGTGCTAAAGTCCGTTGCTTGCACCAACCTTGTCCTTTCCCCAGCCCTCTGCCATGCAAACGAGCAGCTGTAGCTTCCTGGGAATGCACTCCGAGATGTATAAGGCGGCTTTTGATTGAGTTTAAGGTCGAGTTTAGGGTGTAGGGTTTAGGGCTCAGGGCTTAGGGTTTAGGTTTGTTTAGGGTTTAGTGTGGGCAAGTATATGGCATGAAGCTGAAGGTATATGGTCGAGGGAGAAAGGTTGAGGTCTTCAGGCTTATGGCTGCCACGAGACCCTCAACGTGGTCGCAATATCTTGCAATAATGACCTTGCGGTCCTCTTCAAGTCTTGCTACTAAGTCGTCTGTCTGCAGGATACTTAGGATTGAAGGCAGCTGAGGCATGGGTGGCCTTGGATTGGTAGCACTTCTGGAAGGGATTTATAGTTCACTAGGAAGAACACACCACCTTGTGTACTGATTCCAGCCCCTTTAGCAGGCTTACGGAGCATTCGAGTATTAGGGCTTTGTGGAAATGCCAGGGATTCGGGATTTCATCAATAAAACAGAAAAAATGTAGACAGGCTCGACGCCTGTGGCACTTTTGAGAACCGCATAACTTCCCAACAAAGGGGCAAAAGAAAATAAGGCAGACTGACAAACACCAAGCCGTGTATAAGCATGATTGAAACTCACTACAGGGGACACAAAACCCACAACACAAACACCGCCGGCGAGGTGCCTTTCTTTTGTGGAGCTCCTTGTCAGCGCTTTTGGAGAGATCAGGCCTCAAGCGCAATTCCGATGTCTTCGCCAGACTCCCAAACAGGAACTGTCAATGTTGCATTCATTCATAACTAATTTATAATATTCTTTGTGGATACCAGAATGAATGTAATCCGGCGTTGTTGGCTTCTTCTTTTGTACTTGAACGCATCCGGTGTGTCCGGTTCAAATCCGGCTTGTGCTCTGCACATTTGGTTGGCCGGATGGTCATCTGCATCCCCGTCATGGTATGATGTGCAGACCGTAGGGCCGTTGGGGTGTGTTGTAATATAATTGTTGACTACAAGGAGGCTCTATTGCTTTGCATTTCGACTCCTATGTTTTTTCGATAACCCGACGCGCCAAACAATGAAAACCATCGACAGGCCTGCACCCCGAACCCCAAAATCCAGAATCGTACAAATCCCACAATCCCATGCCCTAAACCTCTAGAACCGGTGCCGTAAACCCCAAACCGCAAAAGCAACAATCTTAAATCCACGAGCCCTCAGACCCTAACCCCTAAACTCTTACTCGGAGGATCATGGGACTTAGCAAGTAAGGTTATAAGTACCTTAGTTGGGGGTTATAAGAAATATGAGTATGGTTACCTGATATGTAACCCCACTTAGTTGCCGAGTTCATAAGCCCAAAAAAGTTTAAACTTTCAGTTTAAAGAGGGTGTCATTATCCCAAAAAGTTTAAAGTTTATAAACTCTACTACTCAGCCCAATTGCTAAGTCCCATGATCCTTCAGTATCCCCTAAATCCCCGAACCCTGAACCCTAAACCCTAAACCCTAAACCCCAAACCCTAAACCCTAAACCCTAAACCCTAAACCCTAAACCCTAAATCCCAAACCCTAAACCCCAAACCCCAAACCCTAAACCCCAAACCCTAAACCCTAAATCCCCGAACCCTGATCCGAGGGTTTTGCAATACTCGGATCCCAGGAGTTTCTCCGACTTGGCCGGCGAACTCTCCTGGCTCTCACGGCTTACTTGAAGGGGTTTTATAGGGTTCCTTTAAAGAGATCTATGAGGTTTTTATAGGGTTCCTTTACAAGGGTTTCCATGGGATCCGAAAACCTACCGGATTCTAGGGTTCTACCCTCTGATTTAGGGGTCATAACCTGCTATTTTGAGGGCTTGGGGATGCAGGTTGGGACTTAGTTACTTACAGGGTAACTTTTAACGGGTTCTAGAAGGGATCCTCAGGGGTTTAAGGTTTAGAGGTCTACTGAATGGCTCATGGGGCGTCGATGCTAGGGTTGCAAGTACCTCGGTTTGCGATGTACTTATCAGTATAGTTATTGTTATTGACAACCCTAGTTAGTTAATTGTTACACAGTCCCACGATCCTCCAAGCAGGCTTTAGCGAGTCATCCGGGTGGCTTCTTAGGCTTCGGGCTTATAGGGCGCGTAAGGTGAAAGGGCTTATACTGGGACTTGTCATTATAGGGTTTGTAGGGCTTCTTAGGTTTCGGGATGCTAAGGCCTACTGATAGAGTCTATAGGCTTCTAGAGCGGTATGGTTCATAGGGTTTCTTGGGTTTCGGGCTTGTAAGGTTGTACAAGGCCTCTAGGGCTTACAGGGGCTATAGGTTGTGGGGCTTATAGGGCTTATGGGCTTCATAGGGTTTGTAGGTATTGAAATCTCCAACTAAGGGGTTAGCTTCGTAGAATCGGACCCATACTACTTATGTAGGGCAGGCAAACAAGAACTCAGGCCACATGCACAAGAGGGTTTACCCTAAGCCATACCCTGTGCTTCCAAGGACCTTATAATTGGGTCCCTAGACCCCTTAAGGACCCAATAATAAGGTCCCTGGAAGATAGCGATAATCCTAAACCCGGCTTAGCGGATCTCGCGGCCTCAACGCCCTGCATCCCCTCGGCCTCAGGAAATCTTACCTTTGGTTAGTAGGGAATGGAAGAATGGTCGTAATAGTAGTTAGGGTTAGGGCTCAGGGATTTAGGGTTTAAAGTTTAGGGTTTAGGGAGGCATGGTAGTAATTATTACTACCATGCTTCCCTAAACCCTAAACTAGTACTATTATAGTACTTATAGTTGCACCCCATTCCATTCCCGACCCACCAAAGGTACGAAATGGCGCCCAAAAATCCTCGGCTGCTCGACTGCAGCCCCCAAAGGCTCCATGGTACCTTTATAGTCGATATTCAGCCTTA